CCCCTTCGGGCAGGCATGGGGCAGGGGGGCCCGTCGCCACTGGGGAGAGAGTGCAAGGCCGGGCTACTCCAAGTGCAAGGCCCCGGCGCCGGACCGGCGGGGTCTCGGGTGCGTCTCTCTGGGCAGGTCTCGGACCGGAGCACCATCTGCTCAAAGTCGGCGTCCACGCTGCCGCCGCACTTCTGCGTCATCAGCTCCCCAGCGCGCGCGTGCCTTGGGGGCGGGGGGGGGTCGGGGGAGGGTGGCGAGCGAGGCAGGGCGGTGAGGGCGTGAGAGGGCGAGCGCGAGGGCGCGTGCGTGGCGAGGCCGCGCGCGGAGGGAGGCTGTGGCGGGGACGGAGGAGGAGGGCTGTGGCGGGGGGCTGGTCGTGTCGATGGTCGTGCGGCGAGGGCTGTCCTGAGACGGTGCACACACTAATGCACACACTACTGTGCAGCTCGACGCCTCTCTCCCGCGCGCCTGTGCATCTGGCGGAGGCACTGCTGGTAGCGCGAGCGGGGAAGGGTGGCCGGGTCGCGCGCGATGAGCACGAAGCGGGCGCTCGGCATCAGCCGGTGCGCCAGCGTCGGCACCACGTCGACCAGCCCCGACACCCTCGACCCCTTGCGGCGCGTGTGCGTGTAGCCGGCGCTCTTCTCAAACGTGAGCACGCGCCCAACCTCCGACCGGAGCACCGGGAAGAGCGACGCGTAGCGCGGCCAGGCGGAGGCGAGGTCGGCGATCACGCGGGCCTGCACCGCGGCCGGGCTCTCCTCGGCGAGCGCCCGCCCGCCCGCCCGCTTTCCCCTGCCCTGCTGCCGCTGTGGCACGCCGCCGGCCGCGCCAAACAGCTGATTAAAGAATTGCGTTTCTCTCTCTGTGGTGACGCGCATCGCCGGGTGCGAGGAGAGCCAGCCCCGCATCTCCTCCGTGCCCGCCTTGGCCATCCCGATGATCACGAGCGACGGAAGACAGAACACGTAGTCGCCAGGCGTCGCGGTCGTGGCGGCTTGGCACGGCGGGCACGAGCAGGTGCGCAGCCGGCCCGTGGGAGGGCGCGCGGTGTCTGCCTCGAGGCAGCTGCCCGAGTCAATCTCGCCGTGCCAGAAGGCGGATGATGACCCGGAGACGTTGTACAGTGGGAAGCGAGTGAGCATATGTTGTCGATCCTGTGTGAGACGCTCAGACGCTGTTATCGACAAAAACAAAACACGCCGCTGGCATATCTTGGATACCTAACCTATCTTGGATGTAGCTTAAGGTGGGGAGTCTGTCTGGGTGCCAGTCTCGAGTCTGGGACACTTCACAGATCTTCATTCTAGGGTGTGAACAGAGGTGGAGATCGCCAAGCCAACGCTCTCGATCCGCTTGAATGCGTGTCGCGTCGTGTCCGCAGGTGAGAGGTGGAGACACTTTAGGTCGGCTCTCGCGGCCTCGCGCGCTCTTGTTCTCGCGCGCTCGGCCGCTCGCTGTTGCGCAGCTCCAGCGTCCAGGTGTGGGCCGCCTAGACATATCCGCGCCCAAATCGGAATCACCCAGAGGCAAGCATGCGCGTCTATCTACGTGGCTGGGTTCAAGAGAATGGTAGGAAAATGGAGGGACCACTTGACGGTCGCGGCCTTCCGACTCGCGCCTCCGCTTAATGGCACTGACGAAAGTTGACTGAGGCGGTTGTCAGGAATCATCATACGGATCACATGGTGGCTCTTTCATGACGGGAGAGACCGCCCGACCACTCCTCTGGGTGGCACTGCCACCGGTGTTGCTCGACGACGACGTCCTGTCGACAGCGTGCCGACAGCGACACACACAGACCCTGTGGGACGCGTCGAGTATCGACCTCTACTGCTTACCCAGCCTTCGAGTGTATCCTGGCTGTGGTCCCACACCCACTGGTGTCCATCTCAGAGACCGCCCAGTGGAGGTCATGAGACATGAGGGTCGATGGGAGTGCCAACCCCACCACAATGCCTAACGAGACCCAGCCCAGTAGATGCACTCTCCTTTTGAAGCTGAACGAGACACAAAGACAAACCTCAAACGTAGAAACACCGGGTACTGGCCGCGCGCGCTACAGCGGCGGAAAGGGGAGAGCCGACTGAGAATTCTCCGCCGGCGTCCTCGGGTCGCGACCAGCCCGGCGCCGGTCTTTGCTGCCCTTTGCGTGATCGGCCCCGCGCGACCCGGCCCGCCCCCACCGGAGCGTGGCCGCCTCCGCGCGCGCCGCCGCCACGCGCGTCGCTTGCAGCTGTCGGCGCGACTCGTTGAGCTGCCGCTGCAGCGCTGGGCTCGCGTGCGACTCTGCGAGCGCGAGCTCCGTGCGGAGCGAGGCGACCGAGGCGAGCGCCGCGTCCCGCTCGGTCAGCGCGACGACGATGCCGTCCTGCGTCGCCGCGCGCAGCCCGGTGGCCAGCTCCTCCGCGTGCTCGGCGCGCCTCGCCGCGTAGCGCCCGTCGGCGCGCGCCTCGTCGAGCCGCTCCATCGCGCTCGCCGCGCGGGACCAGGCCTCCTCCTGCTCCTCGCGCACCGCCGCCGCCTCTCGGCGAGCGTCCGCCTGCGCACGGGCGCGGGAGCGGGAGCGGGGCCCATCAGCGGCGCGAGGCGAAGGACACCCCCCCCCCCCCCCTCTCCCGCCGAGGCAACCCGCTCCCGCCGAGGCAACCCTCCACCGCGCGCGCCTGGAGCTCGTCGATGAGCCTGCGCGCCTCCGCCGCGCCGGCCTCGTGCTCCTCCGCCGCCCGCGCCGCCGCCGCCCTCACCTCGGCCAGCTCGGTTGTGAGCGCCTCCACCTTGTCTCCGTGCGCCGAGATCGCCTCCAGCGCAGCCTCCAGCTCCGCCTCGCGCGCGCCGAGATTCTCTCTCAGCGCCGACGCCTCGCGAGCAAAGCCCTCGGCGCGCCGGCCCGCCGCCTCCGTCGCGGCCACCGCCTCCGCCTCCTTGCGCCGCGCCGCATCGGTCTGCGCACGCTGCTCGCTCGCCTGCCCCTCTGCCGCGGCGGTTGCGGCGGCAGCGCGCGTGGCAACCTCCGCCATCTCTCGGCCCTTCTCGGCGAGCTCGTGCCTATGGGCGAAGAGGGGCGGCGCCTCGAAGGGGGCTGCGGCGTCGCTGCCTCCGCATCGCCCTCGTCGCGCGCCCGAGCCGCGCCCGCGCCTCCTGCATCTCGAGCAGCAGCTGCGCTCCCTCGGCGTGCGCCGCCGCGCGAGCCTCGGCCGCCGCCGCGGCGGCCGACCCCTCCAGCGACTGGCACTTTGCCCGCGCGGCGCGGAGCTCCTCGGCCAGAGTCGCCTAACCCGCCCGCACCGCCGCTCACTCCCACCACCCACCCCTCCTGCGGGGCTCCTCGGGCGAAGCGGCCCGCCTCGTGCGCCGCGGTGCCCCGCCCGCCGCCAGGCCGGACACCGTCGCGAAGCTTGGCCTGCGCGTCGCGGAGCTGCGAGCGGAGGGAGTCGATCTCGCGCTCGTGCTGCCTCAGCGCCGACGCCTGCACCGCGAGCACCTACGAGGGCGCGACACAGAGCCGGTGCGTGCACGACTCGTGGCCTCCTCACAGCCGCCGCCACGGGGCGGTCGCCGAGCGGGACGGCGGCGGTGTCTTGCCGCGCGACGCGGACTCTGCCGACGCCGCTGCCACTGCGGCGGCGGCGCGCGCCTCGGCTGCCGCCGCCGCCTCTCGCGCCGCCGCCTCGCTCGACGCTGCAGCGGCAAGCTCCGCCCGCAAGGACTCGCCCTCCGCCCGCAAGGAGTCGGCCTCTGCCCGCAAGGACTCGGCCTCCGCCCGGAAGGACTCGGCCTCCGCCCGGAAGGACTCGGCCTCCGGCGAAGCGCCTGGCGGCTCTCCGGCGGCCGGCGCCTCGCGCACCGCCGCCGCGAGCTCCTCGTGCGCAGCCGCCTCGGCCGCACGCGCAGCCTCGGCCTCCTCCCGCGCGCGCTTCGCCTCCGCCTCCGCCCGCGACGTGTCAGCGGCCGCCTCGGCCGCGGTGGCGCTTGCGGCGGCGGCGGCCTTCTCCGCGCTGCTTGCCGCCTCCTCCAGCTGCTGCTGCTGTCGGCGCACCGTCTTGAGCTGTGCGCCCAACTCAGCCTCGCGCGCGAGCGCCTCGGAGAGCTCGCGCCGCGTGTCGCTCTGGCGCGCCGCCGACGCCGCGGCGTCCTCGTTCAGCCTACGGAGAGCGACAAGGCGCCGCTCAGAACAGCCTCCCGGGCCGCCTCAGCTGTGGCAACCAAGCGGGCAAACGGGCGCCTCTCGGCTCGCGCCTCGCCGAGCTCGGACGCCAGAGTGCGCAGCTGCGCTCGCAGCGCCTCGATGTCCGCCTCGTGCGAGGCAGACGCCGCCGCCGCCGCCGCCGCCGCCGCTCGCGCCTCGGACGCGTCCGCTTCGAGTCGCAGGGCGGACTCGTGCGCCGCCGACCGCGAGCGCCGCAGCTCCTCGGCGGTGGCGTCCCGCTCGCGTGCGGCGCCCCGTGCGCGCTCCTCGCTGGCGGCGCGAGCGGCGCGCTCCCGCTCCAGCTCGCCGTCGAGCGTCGCCACACGCTGGCCGTGCGCAACCGCCTGCGCACCGAGCTCCTCCCTCGCCGCCGCCGCCGCCGCCTCTGCGGCGCCCACTCGGGCGGTGAGGTCGGCCTGGAGCTGCTGCCGCTGCAGCTGCGCCGACGCCGCGCCGCGCTCCGCCGCCTCGACCGCCGCCGCCGCCCTCGCCTCCGCCTCGGCCCTCGCCGCCTACGGCCGTGCCTTGGACGTGTCGCGGACGTGTCCCATGGACGTGTCCCGAGGACGTGCCCTCGCCGCCGCCTCGGCCGCGGCGGCCTCGGTAGCGGCCCTCGCAGCCGCCTCCCTCGCAGCGAGCAGCTCCGCCGCGGCCGTCTCCGCCGTCGCAGAGGCACGAGCCACGTCCGAGGCACATCCTCGCGCGGCGGAGGCGGCGGCGGCTGCCGCGGCCGCAGCTTCCGCCGCCGCCGCCACCTCCGCCGCCCGCGCCTCTGCCGCCTGCGCCTGCTCTGCCCTCGCCTCCGCCGCCTTCGCCCGCGCCTCCTCGCCCGCCGCGTGCGACGCTGCACTCTCGAGCCGCGCGCGCAAGTCCTCTCTCTCGGAGCGGAGGGTGGCGACGTCGGAGCGGAGGGAGGCGATCTCGCGCTCGCTCTGCTGCAGCGCACGGGCCTGCGCCACGAAGGCAGACCGCGGGTGGCCGGCCGGCTCGCTGGACCTGCCCAGCTCGCTAGACCTGCCCCGGCTCGCTGCGCTGTGCGAGGCGGCAGCCTCTTCGGCGCGGGCCGCTCGCGCCTCTGCCCTTTCTGCCGCCTCGACCGCCGCCGTCTCCCGAGCGGCCGCCTGCGTCAGGGCCGCCTGCGGGGAGGGCGGCGCCCGGGCTGAGGAGGGCGCGGGGGGGAGCACCACGCGCGCGGAGCGCGGTCGGTGCCTCCGCCTCGCCGAGCTTCCATATCTCCCCATATCTCCCCATATCTCCCGCGGTAGGTGCCTCCGCTTCGCAAAGCTTCTCGTCGAACCTTGCCCGCAGCTCCACCGCCGCCGCCTCGGCTGCCGCCGCCTTTTCGTTGGCTGCCGTCATCGCCTGCCCCGTCTCGGCAGACACCGGGGAGGGGGTGCTCCGTGCCGCCACCTGCGCCACACAGCCGACCCTCTGTCTGTCTATCTCTCTACGCGCCACACGCCCGACGTCTCACGAGTGGCGTCGCGTGCTTGCACCGAGGAGCTGTCGCGGAGCTATCGCGGAGCTGTCGCGGAACGGAGCTGTCGTGGAGGTGTGTCGTGCGCGGCGCGCGCCTCGAGCCGCTGTCGCAGCTCCGCCGCTGTATCTCGGCTGTATCTGGGCTGTATCTCGGCTGTATCTCGGCTGTATCTCGCCTCGAGCCGCTGTCGCAGCTCCGCCTCGCGCGCCGCCGCGACACGGATTGCGCCGCGCGCGTCCTCGAGCTCCGCCTGAGTGCGGAGGGCGCGGCTGAGCGAGGCCGCGGGCGAGGGTGTCTCCTCTCCACGGCTGCACGACGAGGCCTCGTGCGCAGCTCCGGCGGCCGCCGCCGCCGCAGCCGCCCTCCTCCTCGCAGACGCTAGCTCCTCGCGGAGCGCCGACTCCGAGGCGGAGGCAACGGCCGCCGCCTCCCTCGCCGCGGCTAGCTCTCGCCGCAGCGCCTCCTCGACCTGCGGTCGGCGAGACGCGAGGGCGACACACTCGTGACGGGAGGGGCGTAAAACTTGTTGTGTGGTGTGTGATGTATAATGTGTGTGTGCTACGCGCGTGCTGTACCACCTCCCGCGCAGCCGCCACTGCGGCCTCGGCCTCCTCCTCGCGCGCATCGAGCCTACGCGGTCGGAGAAGGACCTGCTTCGCTCCCTCCACAGGGCCAGCCCGCCCTCCAGCCGCATCGCGAACCGAGCCATCGCCGCCGACGCCATTGCCCAGCCGTCGCCCTCTGCACTCACGGGCGCAATGCGGGCTGCAACCCGGGCGGCCGCCTCCCGGTCGGCCTCGTCGAGCGCCGGCCCCTCCTGCGGCGTCGGCGTCGAGCCAAGCGTCTCTGCAGAGCGCAGCCAGGGCGGTGTCACGGGTCGCTCCTCCGAGGGCGACGGATGCCCAAAGGCCCGCCGCCGGATGTCGGCCAGTTTGGTACCCGAGCCGCTGGTGGCTGCGGCGCGCGCCCGCACGTGCTGGGCAACCAGCTGGCCGACCACGGAGGATGACGAGTCGAGCCTGTTCAAGCCGTCGTCAGCAGCCGCAGCCTGCCGCGTCCTGGCCTGGCGCTCGCGCACGAGCGCCGCCTGAAGCTCGTCCCTCTCAAGACTAACGGCGGTACGCGCCTGGCCTTCTTTGACCAGCTCGGCGTCCAGCTCGAGCACGCGCTGTGCCAGACCGCGCCGGCCGTCGGGCGGTGGCATTATGCGCTGTGAATCACTGCATGTGTATGCCGTTGCACGCGCATGAACGGTGGGAGTGCAGCGCCGGCGTGAGGAGGAAGAAAAACGACTCGGCGCCGCAGCACACTCAGCCGAAAACGCCAAAAGGACGCGCGACATGCAATGTGTGGAGATGTGCGGTGTGAGCAATCGCCGCCCGTATTCGTGTACATACGCTCGTAAGAACGTAACTCGTAAGGCTAACACGATGACACAACCCACAGGAATAAATACTTGTGTCGCTAATGTTCGAACAAGCGGTCGTGTCGTGCACCTCGGGTGTTGGGGAGGTCGTTGGAGCCGCTCAGGACCATTTTGGGGGCGCAATTCGCCTCGTTTCCCTTGAACACGCGGTTTCGCCCCCTCGGGAGCGCCCACATAATCGCGCGCCCCCCCCTGTGGCGACGGTCTCGCGCACCTGCGCCAGACCCCACCGCACTAGCTACATAGATCGTCAGCAGTAGGCGTGCTCAGAGCCCGGATTTGGGCCCATTCGCCAGAGGGCTCGAGAATGGCGCCCGGCAACGTGCAGCTGCAGGCCAGAGGGCGTGAGGTGAGGCCGAATCCGCAGTCGCACGAGCACCGCTGCCCCCAGCGATGATCATGCATGGAGTGGCACGGCGGATAGGCCCGCCTGCGAGCGTGGAAGACAGTCGCGGGGCGTGAGGTCTCAATGTATCGCAGGCTAGGACCGGAGACGGCGGCGCGGGAGAGGGAGGGAAGCGTGAGCGGCGGGCGATGAGAGTGATTTCCCCGATCTCGCTAAAAATGGCCTAGTCCCCTCACGGGGGGCCGGGCGAGCACGCACCTCGCGTCTGGGCGCGAGTCGACGAGTGGTCGCCGAGAGATCGCCGAACCACGTTTCGAGTGCGCGCGCACACAGCACAGCTGCGGGTTGTAACTCGACTGCCGATCGCGCGTGCGGGATCTGAATGGAGCTCGCTGGCGCCAGTGCACGGTGGCAGGGACTGGAGGCTCGGCCGAAGGGGAAGAGCAGTCCTCAATCGTCACGTAGAGGTCGCTGGGCTGGATCCATCGAACTGCCACACACCTGGAGCGGAGGCACATCAGGTCTTGCGGCACGCTCTCCGACAGATGCATGCCTTTTGAGCAATTCCACGCGCCTCCACCGTCGCGTAGTACGCCAGCGGCACGCCGGTACGCCTACGAGTCGTGCGCGCTCGGCAGTAATCGGCGTTGAGACTGCCTAGCGCGCACATCTAGAGCGCCGAGTTGCCTTGCCGCGGGGTAACCGGCTCAAAGAGGTGGGGTTCGAGCGGCGCCTGAGCGCGTGGGAATGCGTAGTGGGCTTGGAATGAGACGCCTGGCGTACATCGGGCTCGGACGGTGTCTGTTGTGAGCTCACCGCTCGACGCACAAACCAGGCTCTTTAGGCGCCCGCCAACTGGCCTCACGGTCGAGAGAGCGGAACGCGGCTCGCCGAACAGCAATACACGTGGCCGCACTACTGTAGAGGTACGAACAGGTATGCAGATCGCGGCGCGCCGACTACTGGCACGGCGTCAGCGCCAAATTGACCAAGGGCTCTGCTGGCCTGTGCCACTCGCCGCCCTTCGGGCTCACACCACGGCTGGCCATCGCGTGAACAGGACGTGCCCTTCCGTTTTAAGGCAGTTCAATACCTTCCCCACGGGACACCAGGTCGATATCCGGCTAAACCACACGACCCCGAGAAACGCATAAGCCGCCCCGGCGCCGCCTCCGATTCCGGCCGTATCGGCCATTTCGCTGGGGCGGCTTATGCGTTTCTCGCCAAAATGGTAAAGATGTCGAGCCAAAGCTGTCGACGCCGAGTTCGGCACCCGATTCGCCTTAAAACTGAAGGAGGGGGCGCGGCTCGGAGATGGCAAGGCACGGCGAGTGCAAACGTGCGGCTATTATGACGCTTTTAGGGGCTCCAAAACCTCCTTTTCAGCGGTAAGCGCCACCTGGCACCTCGCGCCGTGCCCCCCAGCCGCGTGTGCGATCGCCCACGGATCCGGGGCGGGGGATGGGAGCCCGAAACGTCCACACAAGTATGCTCGGAGGCTCGTCAGAATGGTTTTTCAAGCGTTGTGTCATCGTGGGCTAAGGGGCATCTCAGACACGTGCTGTGACCTTTGTTGATGCACGAGCGACGTGTATTGTGTGGAGTGGTGGTACATGGACACACACATTGAAATATGAAATACACACGACAGAGCTCAGAGGCGCACATCCACAGCGCAGCTCTAAAAACAGCTCTCCGCAACGGGGCGATGCGCTATCACTGCTCCTCCGCCCCCGCCACCGCGGCCAATTCCTCCTCGGAGGCCTGCCCAAAATGGCGGCCGGCGATGCAGATGATGGTCGACAGCGCCGCTGCCTGCTCCACCACCGCCGCCTCCTCCTCGGCCGCAGGCCCCGCGCCGCTCGCCGCGCCGGCGCCGCTCGCGCCGCCGACGAGCGATGCGCGCATCTCGGCGCAAGTGCGGAGCAGCGCGCGGAGGGCCGCCGCGCTCTCGGCCGGGAGGACGGGCTCCAGGCGGAGCATCAGCGCGTACATCCAGCGCGCCAGCGGCTGCGAGAGCGCCGCGTCGCGCGAGAGGCGCGCGTGCAGCGCCTGCAGGACGACCACCGCCGCTCGCTGCTCGAGCCGGCAGACCGCCGAGAGGCGCGGCCACTCGCCGCCGCCGCCGCCGCCGCCGCCACCGCCATTCGCGGGCGGGCCCACGCAGAAGGCCTGCCACGCCTCCGCGTCGGAAATCGCCGGCATCGCCGGCGGAGAGGCGTCGCCCGCCGCGAGCACGGCGCCTGGGGCGATTGTGGCGAGGCGGCTCGACAGAGCGCGAAAGTCGGCGAGCAGCTCGTCCTCCCAGTCTCGACTCGGCACCCAGGCGGCGGGCGAGGGCGGCAGGGGCCGCGCGAGCGCAGCCACAGTGGGCCTCAAGGCCGGGTCGGAGGCCGGCCCGTCCTCAGGCGGCGGAGGCTCAGCCCGAACCACGTCCGGAAGCTGACGCGCCTGACGCCGGACACGCCGGAGGTACTCGAGCCCGTCGGCCGGCGGTGCCGCCTGCGAAGCCGCGTCGGACGGCTCCTCGGCATCGTCGCCCAGTGGAAAGGCGGGCTGCTGCAGCCGCTCATCGTCAGCGTCGGCGGCCGCCGCGTAGACTAGCGCCATGAAGGACCACCTCGGAGAACTTCCTTCTCAGAGAGAGAACGGGGTCGACACAGGCAGCTCTGATGGGTCGCGCTTCTCACCACACTAGGCACGTGGTCGGCGCGCTGCCACACCGCGACGTCAAAAGAATTTAAACAAGCCAACTCTCTCTCACAGCACACAGGCTCGACACAGGTGTGAACTGGCGCGTGCTAGTACTCAAAAGAATTTAAACACACTCTGTCTCGTCAAAGAATTTTAGAACGTTCGTACCGCCTCAGCGGAGCTCGGAATAGGACCGCCGCAAGCGGCGTGGCGTGGAGCGGTTGAGCATCCCTCCGGGGGCCCCTCTGCGCCGGGGAGGCGTTGTTGGAGGCTAGGACGCAAGCGTCCGTGCCCCTTTTCAAACTCGGGGCCCACTCCGCTACGTTACGCGGGCTCCGACCCGAATTTGGAGGGCCTAAAAGTTTAAGGTGTTGCTGCGCAAAAGGGGTCGGACACAGGGCGCAGCTCATGCTAAGAGCTAGAAGGGGAGCTAGAGAGAACGACTACCCTGTCCCGTTATTGCGTACACCAACACCACACAAAAGCTCTCTCTCTCCTGTCCTCACTCACTCAGAGGGGGGTCACGCAACTACCGAGTCTCTCGACTAGCTGCCACGTTGCCTACCGAGAGCGGATCTCCTCCTGCTCCGCAAGGAGGGTGGCCAACGCTAAAGTCTTGCCGGAGCCGCCGGGCGTGTTGACGACTTGGAGAAGGTCGCCCCCTGGGTAGTCGACGGGCCCCCGGGGGCGACGGGGGTGCTCTCGCGGGGGGTCCCCCCAGTCAAGGGGGTCTGGGGCGCAGCCCCAGGTAGCCCGCCGCAGGCGCCGATTTTTTGGGGCTTTTTTGACTGATTTTCATGACACATGAGGTGTTGCTACTATTTTGGGACCAGTTGAAGCCTAAAAATGGCTACAAATACAGCCACAGCAGCTGCTAGTCGTGAGCTGCTACTGTGTGGCAGAGCCCAGAGAGAGGGCTTTCAGGAGCACTATTCAGTTTGATCCAGCTCAATGTTGCGGAGTAGTAACACTGTTCCGTTACCGTGAGCGGCCGGCGGCCGGCGGCGGCCGGTGGCGGCACGCGGAGCACTCCGTGAGCGCGGTGACGGGTGCGGACGAGCGAATGAGAGGTCCCTTTCAGTGAGAGATAGGCAGCCCTGGTCTCTAATAACACATCTTCCACAGATAGCGACCTCTCATTCGCTCGTCCGCGCCCGCCACTGCTAGTCGGGACACTCCCGGCGTGCGGCCCGGTCCCGGTCGTCACTCCGGTTGCTCGTGTTCACACCGTCAGAACTCAGCTCCGCTAAGGATCCAGCGTCTGAGACTTGGGAATCTTACACAACTTTTGTAGTAGAGCACAATGGCACCCTTGCATCAAGTGCATCACTTCATTAATAGACCGTAATAGAGGTCCCCGTTTTCGGCCGCCGCGGCCGGAGAGCACCCCCGTCGCCCCCGGGGGCCCGTCGACTACCCAGGGGTCGCCCTTGTACTTGTACTTGTAGAGATGCTCGATCGAGGGGGTGCTTTGTGGGGCGGTGCGCAGCCAGGCCAGCAGTGAGGGGAGGCGCACCCTCACTCTCCTCGGTTGCAGAGAGGGTCGCGACAGCAGTCCTCGGGCGAGCCGACGCGCATGTCCAACCAGTGCTGGGACTCGTTGTGACGGCAGACGCCGGCTGCCTCTCTCCACGCTTCTGCAGCGTCCTTCCTTCTTTGCCCGTGCATGGGCTCGATCCGATTCCGCAGCGTGTCGTCCCCAGCGGCGGTGTTGCGCGGGAGGCGGCCGCGGGCACGCTGGGCTCGATCAGCTTTCCCTAGCACGAATTTGGCGGCGGTTTTGGCTTCAATTTTACGAATGTCTTGGCACCAGCTGAAGGCTTGCGTCCGTCCACGGCCCAGATCGCACAGTTTCTACGGTATTCGGATTTTGCTATTTGTTCGTGTGGGGGTATATTGCAGATTTGTCAATGGTACCGCGTCTGCGACGCGGGCGCCTTGCGGGCAGAGCCCTTAGGCCACCCTTTATATCTTGCGCGGTCAAAACTCCCTCGCACGACACTAGGCACGGGACTGGCGCGCACTGGCACTCACACAGGAAAGAATTTTACAGCAAAACTCCCTCGCACGACACTAGGCACGGGACTGAAAAGAATTTTAGCACGCGCACAGCACGATTACGCGACAGACAAGGCGCGGGCGACGGCTTCCTCAGAACGACTCCCACTCCGGCGCCCGCCCCGCACTGACCGCACCCCTCAAGCGGGTCAGAGCTTTCTTTCTTGCTCGTATAGCCCGATCCCGATCATCCGGCCCGCTGGGTGCGCTTCTTAGCTACCCGGCTCTCTGGGTGTGAGGCTGCCGACTTGCACTCCAACCAAGTGGCTCTAGTTCCCGGACAAGAATTTGCGGAGCGCTGAGACCTGAGTGCTGAGAGGCCCCATTGGCATTTTGCCATTCCTTCTTCCCCTTCTCCTGCTCTTTCTTGGCGTGTTTCTAGGTGTATGGAGGAGAACGACTTCCAAGGAGGTCGAGAAAAGACGAGAGAGGGAGAGGGAGAGATGTATATAGCGCGGTAATTGTAACCAGATTGTAAAACTTTTAGCAAAGAGACTATAAAGTAGAAGTCAGTCAGATATCGAGTGTCGGCGCGAGTGCAGCCTGACGGAGTGCAGTGCTCTAGTGGCAGAAAAAGGGCTTTTCACCGTCGACATAACACTGACCCAACCACCCATCATTCCACACGCACGATGCGACAGGACACCGCCTCACGGCTCACGCCGCGAGCCAGCTCTCGCCATTGTACTCCCCGCCGCCGAGTAGCCTCGCCGCCGCCGAGTTGCGCGCCGCCGTCGCGCCGCGTCCACCTCGCCTCGCCGCTTGCTGCAGCCGCGCCGCGCCGCGCGCTCTGGTCCGCGCGCAGCGGCCGCCGCGGCCGCTCGCGCCGCCATCGGCGGACGAGGCGCAATGCAGCAGCCGGCACTCGAGCAGCTGCAGCGCGTGCCGATACACGGTCAGATCGTTGGCACTTTCCCGTGCGAGCTTGGAGAGCGTCTCTGGCTGGGCGGGCGGGTAGGCGGAGGAGTCCACCGGCCGTACGTGCGCGCGGCTTGCGGCGGCGACGTCGAGGCCGCCAAAGAAGCTCGGTAGCTGCAGTGTGAGCAGCTGGAGCGAGTCGGCCAGCCGCTCGAGCACGCCGACCCACAGGTAGCGATGCCGGAGGTTGTGCAGCGCCCGCGCGAGCGCGGCTCTCCTTGCCGCCGCGGGCGCGGGGTCGGCAACCTTGCACACAGCGGCCTGCCCGCAAAAGTAGCGCGTGATCGTGCCGACCGCCGGCTGCGGCTCGACGCTCGCATACACGGCGTCCACGCCGGTCGAGCAGAGCGGCGACGAGTTGCTCGGCTGCCAGGCGGCGCGACAAAAAGGCTTGTGCGTGCGGCAGATGCAGTCGCGCCAAAAGTAGAAGGCCGATACCTGCATGCTCAGCGGCTCACGCAGCATGTTGATGTAGACCGGCCGCAGCGAGTTGCTGCCGAGCTGCGCAAAGTCGACGAAGTGGAGGTGCCGGTCGTAGAGCACGCGGCGGCGGCTCGCGAGTTCAGTGATCAGGCGGGCGAAGCGGCGCTGCTCGCCCTCGCTGATGGAGCAGTTGACGTAGTCATGCGAGCGCCGGAACTGGAAGCCGCACCGGCGCGACTGGTTGCGGATTATGTGCTCCAGCGTCGTCGATCCGCACTTTGGGACGCGATTGAAGACGACGGCTCGCAGACCAGGCTCTGGCGCGCAGCGCGCGCAAACCTCGGTGGAGAGCGGGAGGGTGGAGCTGGCCATCGTTTCGACGCGAGTCCGAGCTCCGACGGCCCGCGGCGGGCGGCGGCGCATTCCGTGGTTCTCGATGTGACTCTGCTGCCACGACCCACGTGTGAGGCGAGTGACACTACGGGTGTCTCTTACCTCTCTCTATAGCTGCCTCACACTGCACTAGTGCCTACATTCCAGACAGTGACTCTCCTCACACGCGCTCACGAGCAAACTCACCCGCCAGACGCCCTCTGGCTCTGCGTCGAGGGCCCACGAGCCGCAATCGATCGCGTCGCCTGGCCCGAGGAAGGGTTGCACCTCGTTGCGCCAGTGTGCCTCCGGTGCCTCTAGCGCGAGCTCAACCGGCCGCGCGAGCTCGACGACCCCTCCCGCCTGCCTCTCACGACTCCGCTGGAGTGCCACGCAGAGGCACCAGTCCTCGACGAGGTAGACGAACACCTGCCAGCTTACGAGCTCTGCCGCGCACAAGCGCAGCAGCTGCGCCTGCAGCTGCTGGCGGAGCAGCACCTCCGCCTCGGCCAGCGCCGCCTCGTCAAGAGCGCTCACGCCGAGCTGCTTGTCTGCTTCAGCCACCTCCAGCCACCAGTCGGCCGGGAGCCCGCGAGCCAGCTGGCGATCGATCACGGCGAAGAGCGGCGCAAAGTAAGGGAATCGGATCGCCGTCGTCTGCGATGCGCCGGCGGGCACGGCCGGTGGCGGCGCGAGTGGCCAGTGGAAGCGGCCATGCTCGCCGATGGCGGGAGCAAAGGTGCACGCGAGGCGGACGTTGGCGTGGCCTTGGTCGAAGTGGGTAATGGCGAGGCACGCGCGAGCCAGCGCCGCCGCGAGGGGCTCGAAGCTGCGCAGGAGCGCGTTGGACGGCATCTCGAGCGAGTCGTGTGCGGCCTCCAGGTAGGCCTCCCAAAGGGCGGGCGTCAGCCAGAGCTCGATCGTCGTCTCGCCGTCCGCGTCCCTCAGCCGGAGCGCGGTCTGCTTGAAGCAGCGGAGGAGGTGCTCGGTCCCGCACAGCAGCGCAGCGTGAGCCGCAAGGCGGGGCGTGCGGTGGAGCGACCGGTCGAACAGCCGCGCCAGAGTGGCGACCACCCCGTCGGCGTGCAGCGCCGGCCCGGCCTCCTCCCCCGCCCCTCGCCGCCCGCCCGAGCGCTGCCCGGCGGGCGGCACGTGCTCCGCCACGAAGGCCTCGCACAGCGACACGTGCGGCGTGCCGCGCGCGCAGAGGAGCTCGCCCAGAAGCTCGGGCAGGAAGCCGCAGAGCAAGGCGGCGTGGGGCGGCGGGGCAGCGTGCAACCTGAGCGGCGGCGCCTCCTCCGCCGGCCGTGCCTCCTCCTCCCTCGCCGCGGCCGCGGCCGCCTCGACCCGCCTCTGCGCACCACGCAGCACCTGCTGCAGGTTTGGCGGCGCGACGCCCGAGGCAGTGTGCAGCGCGCTGAGCGACGCGACAGCGCGGGCTGCGCTCTCCGCAGTGAACAGCCCCGCGCCCGGAGGAGGCACCCTGCTGAGGCAGAGCACCACCGGCTGCCTCGGCCGACGCGCCTCCGCCTCGACCGCCGCCGCCTCGCCGTCCGCCCCGTCGGCAAAGAGCTGAGAGAGGTACGACAGCCTCTCCACCAGCCGCAGCACCTGCTCGGGAATGAGCACCAGCCGCCGGCCGTGGTCCGCCACCTCGGCGCCCCGCTCGACGCGCAGCAGGGCGCTTGCATTGACGAAATAGAGCGACCTCATCGACGCACGCACCAGCTGCTCGGAGCGTTGCAAGACAGTCGCGGGAGCCGCCGCACCCGCGCTCGCCATCATCCGGTCAAGGTGATCGCCACCGATTTCGATGAGCGAGATCTGTGCGTACCGCACGGCAGGCCGCGCCTCCGAGCCACGCGCGAGCCGCGCGAGCTCCTCCGTGGCGATGGGCAGCTCAAACTCGGAGCAAAAGAAGGCAAAGTCCTCGAGGGTGAGGAGCATCGTGGCACGGCCGACGTCGGTGTCGATGAATGGCGGCTCGTCCATCGGCGGCGCCGCCGGCGATGCGAGTAGAGACGCGTTGAGGAACGATGAGCTCACGATGGGCAGGAACGATGCCAACGCGAGCCACGAGGCGTCGCCTGCGTTCGTGAACGCGTGCAAGAAGGTGCTCTTACCCGCATTCTGGTCGCCGAGCAGCAGGAATGTGTAGCAGACCGTCTCGCTCTCGTCGCCGCAGCCCGCGAATGGCGAGCTTAACGCGACGAGATCGCTCACCAGCTCGTCGTGCAGATCAGCGTGCGTGAAGGAGGCCCGCTGGATCCAGCACTTCTCGCCGGTCTGCTCGAGCGTCAACTCGGAGGTGCCGCAGGAGCACATTCGGCGACGCTGCTGGCGACGGAGCCGGCGACGCTGTCGGCTCGCGGCGGCGCGACTGGGTCGACCCGCGGCGGAGAGGGGCCGCACAGTGGGCGAGGAGGACGAGGGCCGCCTCTCGCCCGCCTCCCGCCCGCTAAACCGCGAGGTGGGGGCCGGGAGCCGAAAGTGCGCCTGGCTGCAGCGGCGCGGGCGGTTGCGGGTGAGCCACCCTTCGAGGCAAGGACCCCTCCAAAAAATGAAATCGAATATCATCCCTCAAACCAGCTCAGCCATGCCGCCCGCCAAGAAGACGCCCGCCAAGAAGTCCGCCAAGAAGCCGTCCGGCGGCGGCGAGAAGAAGCGCAAGAAGAAGCGCGTCGAGTCGTACTCGTCCTACATCTACAAGGTGCTCAAGCAGGTGCACCCGGACACCGGCATCTCCTCCAAGGCCATGTCCATCATGAACTCGTTCATCAACGACGCGTTCGAGCGCATCGCCGTCGAGGCGGGCAAGCTCGTGCGCTACAACAAGAAGGGCACCCTCTCGTCGCGCGAGATCCAGACCGCCGTCCGCCTCATCCTCCCCGGCGAGCTCGCCAAGCACGCCGTCTCGGAGGGCACCAAGGCCGTCACCAAGTACACGTCCAACGCCTAAGCGGCGCACCACACCCCCCGGTGTTTCTAAACACCACCCTAGATCGCACTGTGTGGCATTTGTGTCCGGTGCACTCTTGTCTCTTCGTCAAGCGGCTTGGGCCTTGCCCTTGGCCGGCCCCCGCTTGCTGCTCTACCCAGACGCGAGCGAGCGTGTAGTGTAACCTTCCAGGATTTTAAGGTGACCGTACACCTGACCGAGAATTGGCTGAAGGTTCACCGTGTGTGTGTGTGTGTGTGTGTGTGTGTGTGTGTGTGTGTGTGTGTGTGTGTGTGTGTGTGTGTGTGTGTGTGTGTGTGTGTGTGTGTGTGTGTGTGTGTGTGTGTGTGCGCTGACCGCTGTCAGTGCGAGCCGCCCTGAATGAACGCCACGAGCGCCGCCGCGAGCGCCATAGCGCCGCAAACGTTGACGAACGAGCGCCGTCAGCAGCGCGTGCACCTCCACCCAAAAGCGGAGGTGCATGAGGAGGTGCAGCCGGCATGCTCTATCAACCCCGCATCCGCGCAGGCGCGATTTGTAAAATTCTTTCTCTCCATCCACGCGTTCGGTTACAGGTCGCGCAGCGTTCGGCGCGATGCCGGAGTGGGAGAATGCGAGGGTGCCCGTGCCAGAGGGCGCGTACCCGCTGTTTCTGACAAACACGACGCAGGCCAACTTCAAGTGCCGTGAGCGCGAGGATTGCACCTCCGCCCAGCCGTACGTCTTTGTCTCCAAGAAGGTTTTCCTCGACGACATTCAGTTCCGCGGCGTCATCTCCGATTTTCATCCGACCAAAAAGTACATTGAGAAATACCCTGACGGAGTGGACGTGCAGGAGGATGGCACGTCAGGGCTGCTGCTCGTCTGGGACGAGGACGAGGACTACGGGCAGAACTTCTACCTTGTGCACTCTGTGGAGCTCAAGGAGGCGGTCGTCGCCAAGTGGGCGGCTGCCGGCGAAGGCGATGCCGCGGGTGAAAGCGGTGGCGCTGGGGCGATGGAGGAGGAGGAGGAGGAGGCGTACGTGCCACCAGTCTCCAAGCCGTGGGTGTCGCTCGGGTCGGAGCAGGAGCTTGAGAACGAGGCTGTGGTCGAGGGGCGCGGCCGTTTCATCTTGCACCTCTCGCGGGCGCGCCGCCTCTTTGGCGCAAAGCCGCGGGCATTCTTCGACCGCGACGCCGACGCCGACCCTTGCATCAGCGAGAATGATTGCCGCCCCTTCACAGACCTGAAGTTTGGAGGGTTGGTTCGCGAGGACCGATCGGTGGGAGTGCAGGCGGTTCCCCTGGTTGCGCCAGCCGCGACTCAAACAAACAGCCGGCGTCAGGTCAATGTGGCGGCGCAATACGACGCGCGCGAGCTGAGTGCGGGAGCACGGAGGGCAACGGAGCGATCCGAGCCCTTCCGCGCATTCCTGCGACGGGTGCGCGCGCCGTGCGAGCAAGCGCTGCAGCAGAACGAGCTCGTCGACATAACAGCCGACGACTTTGCAGAGCTTGCAGACGACGAAACGTCGCTCGGAAAGTCTGACGCGAATCTGCGCGAGCTGCAGCACTTTTCGCACCTCGACTACTGCGTCGACCGCACAATCGCGTGCGCTGACTGGCTCCCCACGCCCAAGGCACTCGTTGTCGGCGTCTCTTGTGTGCAGCGCCTCAGCTTTGAGGAGCGGGTCGCCATCGCCGGCAAGATTCACACCGGGTTCGTGCTGCTGTGGAACTTCTCGGACCCGATCACGCCGCAGATGGTGCTGGAGGCCCCGAGCGACGTACTCTGCTTCCGCTTCTGCCCCACCAACCCTGATTTGGTCGCCGGCGGACTTGCGTCGGGGCAGACGGTCGTATGGGACCTAGCCGCCGCCCGACGCGAGGCGCAAGAGCTGCACGCGGACACGGGCAAGGAGCTCGACAAGCAGGAGGAGGGCTCGAGCGCAGTGGTGGCTCAGCCGGCCTTCCTCTCTCAGGTCGACCTCTCCCACCGGGCTGCGGTCACCGACATTGCGTGGCTGCCATCGGCGCTCGAGGTGTCGGAGAAGGGCAAGATCTCACGCGAGTCTGAGCCTGGCGCGCAGGAGCTCTTTGCCACCACCGCGGCGGACGGGCAGCTACTGTTCTGGGACATCGGCCGCGCGAGGGAGCTGCGGCGAGTCCTGGCCGCGGGCGGGGAGGAGTCGCCAGCAAAGAAGAAGAAGCGCGAGGGCTGGGGCCCCACCCACCGCCTGCCGCTCAAGGCGCCTGCCGCTCAAGGCGGGGCGGAGCTCGCCTGCATCTCGATGGCGCTCAGCGTGCCTGAGGACCCGGCCGCACCGTGCGAGCTCTTTTGCGTCACCGAGGAGGGCGAGGTTGCTCGGGTGAGCCTCGCCAACCCGGGCTCCGAGGCCGCCGAGAGAGGAGTCACCTCAGTGCTGCCCGGGCACTGCTCGCCGTGCACCGCCCTCTGCCGCTCGCCTTTCCACGCGGACGTCTACCTCTCTGTGGGCGACTGGAGCTTCTCGCTCTGGAGGGAGGGCGTCGAGCTACCTCTCTTCAGCTCGCCCTTCGCATCGGCGCTGCTGACGTGCGGCTGTTGGTCACCCACGCGGCCGGCGCTCCTATTCGTTGGCCGTGCGGACGGAGCGGTCGACGTTTGGGACCTCAACGACCGGTCACATGAGCCGTTCCTGTCCGTCGCGGTCACATCCGCCGCGATTACGACGCTCCATATCCACACTGCTGGCACGAAGCAGCTCCTGGCAGTGGGCGATGACCTTGCCGCACTCCATGTGATGGAGGTGCCACGGAGCCTTCGGCGCCGCACAAACAGCGAGAAGGACCAGATGACCAGCTTCCTCGCGCGCGAGCAGCGCCGAGTCGAGTATGTGCAGAAGCGGGCGGGGGCACGCGGCGAGACGGCCAGCACAGAAGCGGCGGCAGCGACGGGTGAGCCGGAAGATGAAGCTGACACGATGGGCGATGATGAGCCGACCGCGACTGACCCTGAGGGGTCTGAGGCGGACTTCCTAGCGATAGAAGCAGCTTTCTTGGAGAGGATGGGCTTGAAGAGATGAACGGACTACAGCAGTACGTATGTAGTATGAGTGGAGCACAGCAGTACCCGCCCGCGCCCCACCCAGAGCACCCAACAGGCGCCTGTCCCAGATTTTGTGATAACACCGCGCCGAGCTGGGCGGCGCCTGCGCAGCGCGCTGGCGGAGTTCTTCGCTTGAAAATAGAAACACGGACGTGGCACCGCATGTTCTCGCGCGCACAAACGCACAGAAACATAGTGTGCGCGCGTTGGTCGCTGTGCCCCACCGATCACGCGCGGAGATTTCCCTCCCGGCGCGCACACACACACACAACACACTATACGCACAGAGCTCCAGAGTGTCGGCCTCCCGCAAGCGTGCGGGTGGCAGCGCGGCGCGCACCGCACTTCCTCGTGACTTCACGTGCGCGCGAGAGAGAGCACACACTACGCCAGCAGCGAGTTCTTCTTGACCATGGCGAGGGTGTTCTTCGATCGCTTGGGTGGCTTGGCCGCGGGAGTGCATGCCGCGCAAGTGAACTTGCCCTGTGGCTTGCCCCGCGCCACGGGACGACGGACGCACGACCGATGGAAGGCCTTTGGGCAGCTGCTGCAGCGCTCAACCATCCCAAAGAGCTCGTCGTTGCACTGTGCGCACCGCTCTGGCATGCTTGCCGCGGTCGCATCGTCGCCGAGCTCCTCGTCAGGGCCGGCGGTGGCTTCGACGGGCCGCTTGTTGCTGGCGGAGACGGCGCCACCCAAACCGGACGCGTCATCCGCTTCAGGCTGCAGAGGGTGGGCGGGGCCGGGGGTCTGGCCGTGGACACCGAGCCAGCCTTGCTGCTCGTGCGGCGCTGGATGCTCCGGTGGACGAAGCTGGTCGAGCGCTCGAGGCGGCCTCGCATCCGAGGAGATCGAGTCCTCGGCCTCTTCTGGGAGCGCCGCTGACCCTCCACCGCGTTGCTGCAGCGTGCTTCGGTCTGACTCCATCGAGGCTTGCTCTGTGAGCGGCACCCTTGCTGCTGCTAGCGCCTCGTCGAGCTCGCCCTGCGCCTCCTCCTGCGCCTCGAGTAACTCGCGGCGGCATTGGTCAAGCTCGTCCTGCGTGGCCGCGAGAAGTGCCAACGCAGCTGCGTGCTGCTCAGATGCCCGCTCCTCCGCTTCTTGCGAGGCCTTCACCTCCGCCTCGAGCGTCGCTGCTCGCGCGCGCGCCGCCATCCACTCGGCACCATCCGCGCGCTCGTCGACGACAGCAAGCCGGTCGCCTGAGTGAGCGAGCGCGTCGGCCTGTCCCAGCTCACGAAGCAGTAGCTGCGTCACCACCTATCGGCGGAGAGACACGTCTTCTTCCCATGGGGACAGTGCGCTCCGCCTGTGGCGCCCGCCACGGGCTTCCCGACTGGACACCTCGTTGCGTCGCGCCGCAGCTTGCAGCTGATCGTTGGTCTCAGAGAGGAGCATGTTGCGCCGAAGAGCCCCCTCCATCTGGTCCGCCTGGCTCGCAAGCAGCGCGTCTTTCTTCGCCAGCAGCGACTCCGCCCCCCTGGCCTCGCCTCGCATCTTGCGCGCCACCGAGAGGGCATCCGCGTGCCCCTCTTTCGCCTTGCGAAGCTCCTGCATGAGCACCTGCGCCGCGACGATCATGGGGGTACAGCCGAGCAAGGTGAGAGGGGAAGATGCGGCGCATGCAGATTTGGAGGCCTCTCAGGCTAGTCTCTGGCAAGCGCGTACCTTCATCTCCTCGAGTCGGGAGCTGCTGAGCGCGTCCTTCTCCTTGGCCACCTCTCGAGCCGCCTTGAGCTGCGCGACAAGCTTGGCGCGGCCGACAACCGAGGCCTGGGTGCGCTCAATGGCGGAGAGCTGCAAGCGGGCGCTGCTCTGCTCCTCCACGATGCGGCCCACCGTGCCGCGGCAGGTGCGCTCCGCAGCACGCACCGTCTCGAGCATGAGCGTCACCTCCGAGACCTTGGCGTGGAACGACTCGATGTGTTGATCCGAGGAGGACTGGTGAGCACGCAGTGTGCCTACCGCCCGGTTCGCAGCCCCGAGCTGCTCGTTCAGTACGTGCAGCTGCTCGCCCTGTGCGCTGATCTTTGCCTTGGATTCGGCCGCCTGGTCGTCGGCGAGCCGAGCCAGGATGGCGTAGCGCTGCTTCTCCGACTCCACCGCCGCAAGATGGCGGTCGGCCGCAGCCTCGGCCTCCTGTATGCGGCGCTCCGACGCACGCAGGTTGGCCTGCACCTCGCTCCTGCTGTCGAGTGCAGCCTTGAGCGTCGCCTCGGCGTGATGGACGCTCCGCTCGAGCTCTTGGACGCGCCGCTCGGCACCCTCCTTCTCGCCGACAAGGGAGAGCAGCCGCTGCTGGAAGCGCGCAGTCGAGAGTGCGTCGAGCAGGGGCTGCGTAGGAGTGCCGTCGCTTTCGACGTCGCTCGCCGACGACATCGGGAAGTGCTAAAGCGCCGTCAGAAGAATTCTACGAATAAAGCCCCTCTCACAGCAGACTGGCACGAACTAGCACCACAAAAGGCACAGCAGACAACGGCGTCAGAAGAAAAAGGAAGGTGCGACGTGCTATAAGTGCAGTTGGCGACGGTAGATCATTTCCCACTATGCCACGTCGCCCATCCCACTATGCCAAAACCACACTGGGTCGCCAGTTCGAATCCCAGTCCGACGGTCGAAAAAATTGAATTTCTCTAAGGAGTCCACCGATCGACAAGAAGTGATTTCTTGTTGGTCTTTAAAAATCTCTCCCGATCGACCGCATCCCTCTGGGGGGAGGCGGGGGCCCCCGGAGGCACCGTGCGCCGCGCAGCAGTGCGGAAACGGGGCCCCGGCTCTACTAGTCTCTACTAGCACCAACTTCCCGATTAAGCTAGGTTAATCAGAGGGCAGATTTGGAGAGATCTCGAGGAGTACATACAGATAGACCCTCCAATCATGAGAAACCTCCAACCTGATCGGTCGTACTGACCGCCGACAGATCACTCCAGACAGCAGACAGGCCGACGTCTGCACACGGCCGGCCGGGCGAGAGGCTTGACACGATCCGACTCTGCGACCCTGACGCTGCTACTCTAGCTATCAGACGTGCACTGTTGACTGCTGCCACAATGTGCGACCGGTGCTGGCCCACTTGGCGGCCTTCCCGGTCAGTGGTGAGGCGCAGTTCAGAGCTGTCGATGGCGCGATGCCGCACTGGTCCCACATTGGTGACACGAGACCACCAAGTTTGCCGGTCCAAGAGAGAGGCACCGGCGCTGTCCTGAGAAGGTGCGTGGTCCCTCTTGACTGCCCATGCGCGCGAGGCTGTGTAGGCATAGCCTCGAGAGTGCCAGCAGCCAATCCGAGGTGACGCGCATTGCGCCAGAAGCGTGCACACGATGGAAGGACACCTTCCTACTGGCCGTACGATCAGGTCGTCACTGAATGCTGGATACTGAGGCCGCGAGCTATGCAGGTGGTCAATTGTGCAGCAGGGCACGGTCAGCAGCGCCGACAGGCTGTCGCAAGGCGTGATAGCATGGCCGCAAGTACGGCGAATTCCCATGAAAACAAGTAAAAAATTGAACAAAAGAGAAAAAATCGCAAAAAAATCGGCGCCTGCGGCGGGCCATGGGACCCCATCTCCCCCCCGCATGGATACCCTCTAGGGCCCCCGCCTCCCCCCAGAGCCGCATCCCGGCCGGTAACCAAACCGGACACATGTTCCGCGACCCGGGGAGTGTGGTTTGGGATGGGCGACGTGGCATAGTGGGAAATGATATACCGTCGCCAACTGCACTAAGGGGTCTCGCTCTAAAAGAAAGAAAGAAAACTCAAAACAGACAAGAACCCAAGGGACGAAGGGAGGGATGGGAGGACGCGGCACGCCGCCACCACACACAGGAGAGGAGGACTCCGGCCGTTCGGACCTCCCCGCTTTCTTTGTTTCTCGGTAGCAAGCCCCGGTGTCAAATATAAAGAAAGCCGGCACGCCTTGCGGCGGCCCTGGGAGCCTCCACTGGGGCGGAGCCGAAACTGGTTGCCCGTTTGCAACTCCGAGAACCCAGCTCAAGAACCTTCTGCGTCACACCTGCCGCACGCCCTCCTCGGCCGGCGCCATGCCAGGCGCGGCGACCGGCTCGCCCGCGCTCTGGCGCAGCTCGGCGAGGGGACACCCAAAGGTCGCCTGCAGCCAGGACGCGAGCTGGGCGGCGGGTGCCGCCATCATCCACAAGCTAAAGTGGTCGGCGCCGCGCACGGAGAGCATCGTCGCGCGCGCGCCACCGCTGAACCCGCGAGAGAAGCGCTCGTAGCGGCGCACCGAGCAAAACTGGTCTGCCGTGCCGCTGATGAGGAGGGCGGGCGCGCGCGCCTCCCCACGCTGGAGCGGCGAGGTGACGTCGCGGCAAAAGAAGAGCGGGGCGGCGAAGCTGAGCGGCGGCGCGAGGAGGATGAGCGCCGAGAGGTGCTCACGGAGCGACGGCGCGGCGTCGGCGACGCAGAGCGAGCCGTACGAGTATCCCGCGAGGATGAGTCGGCTCGGCGGCGGGTCGCAGCACGAGCGGAGGAAGGCCCACGCCGCGCGGATGTCGTCGGCGGAGGAGTGGCCCCGCCCGATGCCGCACCGGAAGTTGAAGCGCAGGGTCGTGACGCCGCCGCTCTCGCCCAGTGTGTCGGCGAGGGCCAGCACGTTTGGGTCATGCATCGACCCGCCCATCGGACCCCAGGGGTGGGTCACGATGGCGGCCAGCGGCGAGCCCCGATCGGCCAGCATGCCGGAGCAGCACGCCGGGATGCCGGCGCACGCTCCGGCCACGGGAATCGTGACGGCCACCTCGCCGGGCGCAAAGCCACGCACGCACGCGGTCTGTATGCGGCGCTGCCGCTGCTGCAGCGCGGCCTCGCGCGCCATCGCCTCGCGGCCTGCGCGCTCGCGCTGGTAGGCCGCAGTGAGTTGCGCGGTCACGTCCGCCGCCATGGTCAGTGCCGGCAGCTTTGGCGCCACGAAAGTCGCTAACGCCGCCGCCGCCGTCCAGGTGCGCGTCAGCAGTGGGCAGGTGTGCTTGCGCACGACTTATATTCTTTTATCTTCCTTCGAGGGACTCGAGGAGGTAATCCTTTGGCCGCGTTGGGTAGCGAGGATTGGTGTAACGTTTCCTACTCTGGGTTGCCGGAACTGCACTAGGCCAACGTCCGTTCCGGCGCCAAGAAAGAACGAACGATGGCCAAAGTGCGATACTAGTATGTAGGGCGACACGCGGGGGCGGCGGCGCACGGGGTAGGAAGTCGTTGCCTACTAGTTGCGGGATGCGGGTTCACACACACACAAAAGAAAACATGCTCGGGTTCATTTCGAGGTACCCAGCTATCGTAGTGTGGATTCTTGAACGCGATTTCGTAACCTCCGCCCGACCGACCCGGGGGGTGATCGATTGACGGCGCCGAGGAGCTGGGCACACGTGGCGGCCGGAGGTGCCGACGACGACCCCTCCACACCCTTCTCCGAGATATGTCCCTCCTCGCGCTGCTGCTCCTCGCGCTGACGTGCTGCGAGGCCACCGAGTGGCACAGTGCGCGCTGCGAACGCTCGCACCACGACACGGCGCGCTACTCGTGCGAGGTTGCCAAGGGTGAGCACGCAAGCGCTGATGCCGTCGGCTCTTGGCAAGACACAATTGACACGACGGGCTGGAGCAACCTGCTCGTCCGCACGCGCGCGGCGCCCCAGGACGACGGCGCTGAGGCGGCCGCATTCTCTGCCGGCTACCTCGAGGGCCACCTCACCGCCCACCGGGTGGTCCAACACCTGAGCAATGCGAGGGTGGGCGTTGGGGGCGGGGTGCGCATGGATCCTCTCCCAGAGAAGGTGGCCGGCTTCTTGCGGGCGACCGACGCGTGGACGCGCGACAAGGTCGCTCGGGCTGACCCAGACGATGAGTACTGGAACGGCGTCCGCTTCGTCCTCGCCCAGCTGGATGGCCTGCAGGCCTGACGATTCCCCTCTCGCGCACAACCGCCACTCTCTCTCCTCACGTGCTCCGCCGCTCTCGTCCTCCAGGCGGGCGTCAATGAGAAGCTCGCCAAGGACGGGTCGCGCGAGCAGCTGGTGAGCGATTGCACTGCTGCCAACACGACTCACCGGTGGTGCCGGTGCCGGTGGTGACATGCACCCCCACACACCCCAACCATCCCGCCCGGCAGGACAAAATGGACCTCCTCACCATCAACATGCTGTGGGAGTTGGAGGACATCAACCTCGCGACGAACGTCGCTTCGATGGCCAATTTCTCGTTGATGAGCGCGCGCGAGGTTTCACTGTATGTACGGCAGCGCACGCATTGCTCCTCGATCGTCAAGCTGCTCCACGATGGCGCGAGGCGTTCGCAGGGCACCGCTGTACCGCGTGCCGTGTCACGCTTGCCACTGTGCATAGGTTCCGAGCTCTTCACGGGCCACAACAGCTGGATGGGTTACCACATGATGCTGCGCGTCTTCAAGCGGTACGAATTTGGTGGCCTGCGCCCCGTCGCGATGACCTCCTACCCGGGTGCCCTGGTCTCGGGCGACGACTGGTTTCAGGTTGGCAACCTCACCATCACCGAGACGACCCTTCCTAACTACAACAATGAGATCTTCGCCGCGGTGACGCCGAAAACGGTTCCCTACTGGATCCGCGCGATGGTCGCCAACCAGCAGGCGCGCAGCGGGCCCGACTGGATGGAGGTCTTCGCCAAGCACAACTCGGGAACCTACAACAATATGTGAGTTCGCCTCCTCCTCCTCCTCCCTCCCCCCCCTCCCCCGAGGCACAACGCGTCCGCGCCGTGCTGAGCGTTCGCGCGCTGCTCAACAGGTGGATCGTTGTCGACTACTCCAAGTTTGAGCCGTACAAGCCTGTGCGGGAGGGACTGTTGACCGTGGGTGAGCAGCTACCGGACTTCTTCTACTACGAGGATCAGACCGCCGTCCTGTCGTACGGCTATTATCCCTCCTACAATGCGGCGGCCTACCCCGAGACGGCACGCCTCATCAAGCAGGATAAGATGGCTCGTGAGAAAGGCGAGGACTTTTCGTACCAGATGGTCTCACGGGCCAAGGTCTTCCGTCGCGACCAGGCCGACATCCGCTCGGACGCTGACATGCAGCGCACCATGCAGTACAACCAGTTCAAGACGGACCCGCTTGCGAAGGGCGACCCGTGCAACCAGCTGGCCTGCCGCGCTGACCTGGACAAGGATGCCGCCGCTCGTCAGACCTTCGGCGCGATCGACGCCAAGTACACCTCGTCGGCGCACGTGCGCGCTGACCGCACCCTCGTCATCTCCGGCCCGACCAAGGACGACCAGCCCGTCTTCGACTGGCGCGCCGTCGACCCGGCCCTCGCCGCCAAGTCATCGCACAACGGCCAACCCGAGCGTTTCAACTTCCCGTGGATGGTGATGGGCGCCGACATGGCCGCCTCTCCCTGGCTCGGCGACGCGTCCAACATCCGCAGCCAGGGCGGCGCCGAGGCGTTCCAGCGCGCCGCCGAGGCAAAGTTCTCGCCCTACTTCTCGCCCTACTCCTCGCCGTTCACTGTGGGTGTCGCTCTGACCGGCAAGGCGGCACACAAGGAGAAGTCGTCACCGCTCACGCTGCTGTTCGCTGGCATCGCCGGCGCTGGGTTCGCCGTCGCTGTCGTGATGGCTCTCGACACGCGCGGCCGCCGCATCAACGCCTGGTGGTCGAAGATGGCTACGGAGCCGCTGGCGGCGGGAGGCGAGTGGCCGGTGGCCGCCGAAGGCCACAAGACCATGTACGGCGCCCACTGAGCCGGCCATGTGCATTTCGCTGCTCCTGCAAGAGGTCTTCGACGCCAAGGCCCAGAAGCGCGGTAACGCGGTATCCGTCACAGCCGGCAAGCGGCAACGCATCAGGCATGTCGTACCGGTTCGAAAGGGGAAGGGCGAGCATGATGCATGACGAGAGAGTATTTTTGTACTTTTTATCAGCATGTGCATGTTGACACACCCGCCGACGCGCGCGCGGAACTGGATCTAAAACCGAGGTCGTGCCAACTGGAACTGCCGGCACCAACTTGATTCCCGGATGGGGATGCGCGACTGGTTGGGTACAGGGTAGTAGTCTAAGTTCTGAGCCTCGACGCCTAGCGGGTCTAAGCGGTGTGCTTCAGCACGCTGGGGTGCGCTTGCGTGGTCTAAGATCAGCGGGAGCCTCTTACATCGGCTAAGTCGGCCGTGGCACGGCCTGGGGCCAAGAGGCTCCCACCGTGATCGATACGGCGCTCCGCCCAAATTTTCTTCGCCCGCGGCGGGCGCCTACTAAAATCCGGATCGATCCTCCTCATGCCTCAGCAATCGCCGCCTCAGTATCCTCCTCTTCCGATTCTCGTTGCTGCTTCTTGAGCGCAATCTCTAGCCAAACAGTTCTCGCAAATAGCCTCAAGCTCAAACAAACGCATGTCAGAGAAGCCTGTGTATGCGCTGGTCCTCTTTGAACGATCCGCGCGTGAGGTAGCATAGGACCTTGTTGGCAGCAGCCAGCTTGTTGCGCTGCTTCGTTGCGATGAGCTGATTGGGATCGCAGAAGTGCATATCCATGCCAAGCACCGCCACGATCTTGAAGCACTTGAGCACTTGAGCACCGGATAGGGTCGATTCCGCATGGTACGGGACCCCTCGATCGTCTCGCCCACCCTCACTGGAGTGTTCATTGGGGGGGGTCATAACAAACACGGTACAGGATCGAGGTGCACGCTGCTGAGGGACCCCAGAGGGTAGATCGAGCAGTGTCGTCCCCCCTCTCCATCATCTCACTGGAAGACGTCGGCGGCGATGACGGTGTGACCGATCGAGCTACAAGAGGAACTTGTTCAGCAGGATCCGGGACAGGTCTGGTGCACTACCTCACTGGGCCTGAGATCACCGAGACAGCGCCCGTCACCGTCTCGGGTTTGCGTGGGGTCGAACCACTCCGGGATGGGCAAGCCCATCAGTCTTCGTTTCGCATCTCCCCTGCACACCCATCTGGTTAATTGTCAAAATTCCTGTTGTGCAAGAGGGGAGGGGGCTCTGTCGGAGTGTGTGGGCAGAGAGGGCAGGGAATGGGCGCAGGGGAGAGGGGGGGGGGGGGGGCTCAGCCGTGCAAAAAAGCATCAATAATAACAGTAATGAAGAAATATTGCTCGGCCGTTCATGAATGAGGTCCGTCTCGATCTGGAGGAGACGGGTCAACCCCGTGAGGACCAGATCAGGTTCACATTGTCGTAGCCGGAGGGGATGTTGACCTTTAGCTGTTGGGGCCGCCGGCCACCGCTCCGCTTTGGTTTTTTCCCCACAGACCATCTTGAAGCAGAACACATCGCAAACGCATCGTCCGCACTGCCATCGCGCATCGGTGTATGCCGCGCCCGCCGCTTCGCCGCAGCCGCCTTACGGCACGCATAGCGGCAGCACATGGTACGGTGCGCGTACTTGAGCAGGAATTGCGCGCCGCAAGTAGCGCACTGGCCCTGGGAGAAGGCGATATGGCGTCGTGCGCGGCATACGTTGGTACGGGGCTAAGTTGAGCGCTCGCTCGCTGCAGAGGCTAAGTGTAGAGCGACCCTCTAGCCCTACTACCCAACCATTGATGCGCGTCTCACGGCCGGGCCACGGGACGGGGAGGGAGGCGGAGGGGGGTGGATCCGTAAATCCGTAAATCCGTAAATTTCTCTTTTGTAAGCAAAGCCATCAGAGCGCCCCCCATCACACCCAGCTACCAGGCAGACAGAGATCCAGCACTCGCGACACGCTGAGAAGCCGGAGGCTGGCCTCTCCAATGCTCGCGCAACGCTGTCTGCACGCGCTCGGGTGCAGCTCTCCGGGGTCCGGGCGGCCCACACGGTGGGAGGGTCGACGACCGTACGACTGTAACGCTACGTATATCTCTTAACAATCACTATATTTGCGCTGCGCCTCTGCGAGTGCGATTATCAACCCCTCACGCGGGTGCATAATCCCCTCCATCTTGTCGTACAGCATTGACCTCTCCCCGCCTCTGCGGCATCAGCGCGCCTCGCCTCTGCCTCCATCGAAATCTGCCGCGCGTCGAGCTGCTCGCGCAGCTCAGCCTGCATCTTGGCCCGCATCTTGCCGATACGCCACTCACACTCAGCTCGAGCTGCGTGTTTTGCCTCGCGGTCGGCCATCCGCTCGGCCGCTTTGATGTCGCGTTTAGCAGCCTGCTGCGCTCTCCTCAGGTTGTCGCAGTCGGAGCGCCTCAGCTCTTGTGCCGCAGCAAGCTCATCCCGCGCCGACGCGAGTGCCCTCTTCACAGCGCTCGCAGAGCGCTGCTCAGAAGCGAGCTCCTTAGTCTGTGACCGCAACTTCTCTTCCAACTCCTGCCGGAGCAGCATCTCAGCACTCGCACTACTCGCGGCTGCATGGATGTCCGAGACATTACTCATTGCGTGTTTTGCGCGTCTGTGCTGACGAGAGTGCGGGAGAAGCTACCCTTGTGCTGCACAGAGATTACGCCAGCGGTAGCAGTGCTGCCTGGGGACACAACAACATTGCTCGTGGCCGAGCTCTGGCATAAGCCGCCGCACCAGCCTCTGCGGCTGCAGCGGTGCTTCGGATCGCGTCGAGCACCGCGCCCTGTATCGTGCATGAGCACAGCCTCGAACGTACTGAGGTCGACTACCCCGAGTTCGTTGAGCAGGCGCTCCAGCACAATGCTGAGCTGCGTCGGTGCCATGTGTCGACGTGTCCAGGCGAGGGGAACGGACGTCGCCGAAAGTCATTAGTTCACGCCGAAAAGTACGTCTAAGGCACGCCGCCCGCTACGGCTCTAGAGGAAGCTAGAGGGCACGCTCCCAGGCGGCTGGGGGCCGCTATCAAGCTCGATTAGGGCGCTTTTTGCGCGATTTTACGGAATTACGGATTGGAGCAGCTGGATTGGAGGGGGGTGGCGTCACATAGCATAGGGGGAGGGGGAGACGCGCACCGCGATCCGGGAATCAAGTCGTTGGTGCCGGCTGCCATGCCGCATGCGGTGCGGCGGGTGGTGGACTGGTGGTCCGGACGTGCAGCTTTTAGCGCAAATAATTGTAAGTAATACGCACGTCATCGGCGGCTAGCACTGGTAGTCGCCCCCATACTCCAGAACCGCCATGGGAACCTGGAGCTGGAGGAGTGGCGCCTGCCACGGCGCGCGGCGCGAGGCCCGCGCTACGGCGACGAGCTCTGCCGTCGCCGAATACGACTCGCGGCATCCCGGCTCTGCCGAGAAGCCTTGCGAGGTTGGCACCGGGATCGCGCCGCCAAAGGAGGCGCGCCGCGCGCGCAGCGTCACCAGGAGGCGGCGCGTGCCATCGCGCGAGGTGGCGTTGAGGGCGAGCCGCGCCTCGCACGGCCGCCGCGCGTGAGCCACCGCGTCCGCGTCCGTCGTCCGAAAGTCCCACGCGACGCCTGGCGGGGCGACGGAAAGAGTGGGACGCATCGACGCCGCGTGGACCGGTCCGGGTGCGGGCACGGTGTGTCCATCCCGCATCTACGTCGCCGTGCCCAAGTCTGCGGCGCGCAGCCCCACGACAAACGACTCCGTCTCGAGCAGACCGATGATGAAGCGGCCGCCAGTGAGCACAAGCTGCCGCACCGGGGGGGTGGGGTGGGGGGGGGGGGGGGGGTTCACAGGGTGCTGGCGCCGGCCCCGCGGCGACTGTGGGCCCGGTCTAAGGCCCACTCCTGCTCTAGGTGCCGCTGCTGCTGCTAAAGCGAGCGCTGCACCTGCACCGCCCGCGGCGCCGGCGCGCTCGCCTGCGCCCACACCCACCCGCGCGGGAAGGCGTCCCCGTAGTTTCGCTCCACGTGCGCCGAGGCCGTGCCGCGCGTCCGCCGCCGCCCGCGCCGCAGCTCGTACCGAGTCGGCGAGGCAAAGGAGTGCACGTAGTAATGGCAGGGCAGCAGGCCGGTGCGGCCGAGCCAACCCTCTGGCCCGGCGGTGTGCGGCGCGCGCGGGTCCCACGGCACCCGCGGCGCGGAGACGTTGGCGACGAGGCGCGCGCCACCGACGGTCACGTCTGCGAAAAGCTCGTCGCCGCTGCCCGCAATCAGCCCGGCTGGCGACGTCCAGGCGAAGCGCGGCGGCGGGCCGCGGACAGAGGGCAGCGCCGCGCCGCCACCGTGGAGTGCCGCGTGCTCCCCCGGGATCACGGTGTGCAGCGTCGCGTGCTCGCCCTCCAGCTGGTAGGCGAGCACGAGAAGGTGCTCGTGGAACCCGTGGAGCGCCGGCTCCTTTCTGGGCAGGCGCATCGAGCCGAGGATGAGTGCGATGGAGACGCGTGCAGCGTGGTCCACCAGGCGCACGAACCAGCCCTCGAACCACTGCCGCCGCCACGGAGGGAGCGGCTGCGGCTCAAACGGCAGCGAAGCGGCGGCGAGCATGCCGCGCTGGGCGCTGCGTGGCGGCCGTCTCCCACTGCGGCGCCAAAGCGCCTCTGCGCGTGCTGCACACTGGCGCGACCACCCGGCGACGATGCCGCTGTAACCCTTGGTGGCCGAGAGGTCCCGCATTTTACACGGTGCCTCTTGAAAGAGGAAAGAGGTCGAGAGCGCCGGTGAGTGTCGGCGAGCGGCGAGGAGCGCACGAGATGAGAAACCCCCGCATTCCTCCTCGAAGTTGCCCCTGGGTGCCTCTTTTCTTTCTTTCTTTCTGAAATCGGAAGACGACACTCAACGAGCAGGCCTCGAGACTTCGAGAGAGAGGGGGAGAGTGAGGGAGTAAGGAAGGAAGGAGAGAGAGGGAGCAGGGAGGGAGAGAGCGAGCGAGCGAGAGAGAGAGAGAGAGAGAGAGAGAGAGCAGAGAGAGAGGAGAGGAGAGAGAGAGAGAGAGAGAGAGAGAGAGAGAGAGAGAGAGAGAGAGAGAGAGAGAGAGAGAGAGAGAGAGAGAGAGAGAGAGAGAGAGAGAGAGAGAGAGATATGCGGGTCTAGGTCGGGCGTCGGGCCGACGATATCGTTCCGTGCCAAAACGCACGCTCGTAAAGTCGGCAGAAAGTCGGGTCGGAACTTTGCCCGCGTGTCCGCCACGTGCGGCCGGCCGGGATGTTGGCTCGACTCAGCCTCAGCTTGCTGGTTGCGTCGTGCGCAGCATGGTTCCCCACCGATCTGGTCCCCTTCACGGGCCCCGGCAGCACGGCTTCCTCCGAAGACGTTGAGCGCGACGGCCCGACCTGGGGAGGGGGGGAGATTCCCGAACTTGCAAACATCAAGGAGTTTTGCTTTGAGGAATGCGGTGCGGCTGGTCCATGCAACTTCTGCGGCACAAATGGCGCGTGCTGCAAGGACGGGATGGACGTCGATGGGTGCCCCTCAGTCGGAGAGTGCGGTAAGTACACCTTTTGCTGCACTGAGAAAGGCTCACCCACCCCGGTGGCAAGGGACGAACCAGCTGCGACGCCAGCTGCGACGTCCGCAGCAGCCCCGGCTGCAGCCGCGGGCGCGCCGGTGAGCGGTGATGTGCCCGTCCTCAGCCCCGGTTCAGAGGCGTCCAAGTTCAGCTCGGCCTTCTGGATGGGGAGTTACCCGACCGAGTGCGTGGGGCTTTCACTCTGGGCCCATCGCGCCCCCGTTGCTCACTCTACTGAGAGCGGTGCCCAAGGCGCGCCCACAACACGTCGAGCGACCCTCGTTCGCGACGCACGCAGGTACGATGCGGAGGAGCTGCTCAACACCACGTGCATTGTGGAGGAGGGCGAGAGCGAAGGGGTGCTCAGCACGACCGGGGAGTACTGCAAGGCGTGCGGCTTTTACGGCCTCAAGTACGAGACGCCCACCGGTACAAAGGGCATCCCTTGCCGAACAATCTACGCCGCCATGGCGCGCGGCTGGCCCTCGTCGTAATTCCGACACACTTGCCCTTCTCACCCTCTCATGCCCACCTCAACCTCAGACGGCGGGGATCGTCCTGCTGTTGGGCGTCGCCGGGGGAGTCGCGTCCAAGGCGGGTGGCGGCGCCACGGCAGCGCGGGGCATCGACATTACATCGACAACAACACAGGGGAAAATTCCTCTCGTGTCCGCTACCTCCGAGGCCAAGGTCAAAAGAAACCTGCAAAGTTACGCGAACGTCAAAAGGAAGAGAGAAGCTGCTTTGGTTTAGTCGTCGGAAGAGGCGAGCATAGAAATGATGGCAAGTGGGGCTGTTCGGAGCCGTGGCCGATATCACCCTCCACCTCGCGCACATGAGGGGCAGGCAGAACGTGAGCATGGGGCGCGGTTCGGCGCGTTCTTTACCAGTGTGCTCTGTGAGAGAGCGTTATTGCTGTGATGTCTCTCGTTGGAGCGGCTGTAAAATTACGAGTCGAAAGTTGGCCATGCGCGCGAGAGCCTCTTTCCTCAGGCGCCCCCCCACCGTCTCCCGCGCGCCGTGGCGCCGGGCCCGCCCCCCCCCCCCGCCCCCCGTGCCCCCGCGATGGGATGTGCGGATGTCCCGCGCGACTTGCCACTCGTCGTCTCTCTTTGTGTCGTTTGTCATCTTCGTTGCATAGCCGGTGGCACCGCGGCGGTGGGTGTGGGGTTCGCGGGGTCCCGCGCTCCTCGCTCTGTCTGTCTCTCTCTCTCTTGTGTCTTGAGCACTTGTGAGGAATGTGAGCACTGGATAGGGTCGATTTCGCATGGTACGGGACCCCATGAACACCCCAGTGCATGCTGTCCGCCACATGCGACATGGGCTGCCATCGGCATACACAAGGCGCAAGCTCACCGAACGGCGGGAGGTGTACGCGACCCAGAAGAAATCGGTGCGTGTCGTTCTCGAGGTGTCGTTCCCTCCGCTGGAGTCAGAGAGGTCCCTCAGTTCCCGTTCCTCAGGACCTCCTCTCCAGCTGCGACCGTGGATCATTGCAAGACCACGAGAGTGCTCATGCTACAAGAGGAGCTTGTTCAGCTCTCTTTATATGTCGCGCTCTCTAGATAGCTCTGCCGCGAGCCGCGTACCGGAGCCTCTCGCCCGACGCCGCGCGGTCCTCTTGTTATCTCTTGACGGCGCGCGCACACACACCAGCGCGCCGGTCTCTCGATCGTACCGTTAAAAGCTCTCTAGATCGCAGGGCGCGCCAAGAGTTAGCAGTTACAGTTAGCGGAGCAGTTTTTTCGGCTTCCTCCCCTCTATCGGGCTCACAAAAAAAGGCTCTCCGCCCGCCGCGGTCTCTGGGTCTCGGCGACTCGGCCGCTGTGGGCGCGGGTGTGTGCGCGGCGGATGGTGCGAAAACCACGATAAAATTTACACCATGTTGCAATAGAAACCGCGGATCCCGTGCGCACGCGTCAAGAGCGCGCCGTAAGCGACGTTAAGCGAGACCTACTCAGAGACGCTCACAGCTGAGAGGCCCTCCGCTCTTTAGCATGTGTCTTCCTTCTTGATGAGGAAGAGGCCCTTGGCCTCGCAGTGCACCCTGGGCCGCCCGTCGCTGCAGGCGAGCGGGTCAGAGAGCGACGCCTCCACCCAGACCTTGCGCCCCTCCCTCCGCACGATCGTGGCCTCCACTCGCAGCCACGCGCCGACCGCGACCGGCGCGCGGAGCGAGGTATCGATCTGAACCGTGAAGCCCGACCACGGCTCGCAGGTGCCAGAGGCGCAGAAGCCGCACCAGCCAATCACGTCGTCCATGAGAGCGCACATCGTCCCTCCGTGGCACAGCCCTCTATGTGACTCCGCCGCCGGGCCAAAGTGAGCGGCGCCTACCAGCCGCGGGCCTCCGCCCGGGGAGTCGAGCAGGTACCCAGGGATGTGCACCGGTGCGGTCTGCGCGTGAACAAAGTCAGACCCGGTCCAACCATTCTCCCGCCGCCACTCGGGCCCGTTCTCCCACTCGGCGACTCGGAGCGGCGCGGCACCGTCCGCTGCGGCCATGTCCGTCCACCACACGGGCGGCGAGTCGCGCCCCGGGTGTTGTTGCGTCATCGCGGGAGGAGCGTCCACTGGCTTTGGGCCCGGCCCGGGGAGGGGGCGGGGCGGCTGGGGCGGGGGGCAGCGGTTTTTCTTTGTTGCAAACTCCGGTTTCTCTTTTGCCTCGATGATTTCCTTCATCATATGAGGACTGGGTTGGGACGACGGGGATGGGGTCGACCAACTAAGGCGGGGCTTCCCTACGTACGCTACGTTGCGACTGCATGTATTCCCACAGCTGCAACCACACGCTCGTGGCTGTTTCCTTTTCATGTAGTCCGCACAATCGCTGTCGTGGGATCGCTTGTCATTGTACTGCGTTTGTCCGCTTTCTCTTTTTTGCCCTCCCTCCTCTCTGCTCATGCCCTCACCCTCGCCGCTCGCGGAATGTGGTTTTGCGAGGCGTGCTCCGTCAGCGTGCCGCGGAATCCCGGCGCGCTGAAGCAGCACCTCGAGGGGAAGCGGCACGCAGCGATGCGCTTCTACGGCGACCCAACGGCGGCCGTCCGGCGCATCGAGCTGCGCAATCCGGGCCCGTCCCAGTCTCTCGAACTGGCGCTTCGGCCGCATGAGGTGAGCGACGCGGCCGCCGCCGCGACGTGCGAGGCTCGCGCGCTCGTGCGCAAGAGGCTAGTGGTGCACACGGGCGTCGCCTACCAGAACCAGGCGTGGGCGCTCCTCACGCCGGAAGCGCTCTGCGGGGGGGTTCTGCAGCTCGAAGCGGCGATCTCCGCCCGGGCCGTTCCTTGTGTGGAGTGCCTCGACCGCGCCCAGTGTGCCTGCGACACCTTCGAGGCGCACTGCGCGCGGCTGCTGTCCGGATGCGCCCCTGCGTCGCCGCTCTTTCTGCTCGCTCTGGCGCAGCGCCTCGGCGGCGGCGGCGGCGGCGGCCGCGGTGGAGGCGGTGGCGATCGGGGCGGCGGCGGTGGCGGGCGCCCCTCCGTCAGGCCGGCTCGCCCTTCCTCCAGCGACGGGCCAAGCTTGGCTGCTCGGGTCGCAGCCCTGCCGCACTGCAGCCGGGAGACGTCGGGCGGCGCAGGAGAGAGGCTCGTGGTCGCCGTCGCGGCTCGGAGTGGCGTCCTTGCCGAGATGGTCCTGGTGACTGCCCTCGATGCTCTCTGCGCCGCACTGCCACGCGCAGCGCACAGCGTGCCGTTGCGGCGCCCTTCGGCCGCCTCGCTAGGCGGCGGCGGCGGCGTTCCTCCCCCGGGCGGGCGCCTCGACCTCACGCTGCGGCTGGGCGGCGCCGTCTGCTCGCGCCGCCACGCTGCCCAGCTGCTAAAGACGCTCGGAGGCGCGCTCCGCGCGGCCAGCACGCCGCTCGGCGTGCGGCGCGTGCGGCTCGAGGTGCGCGGCGACGCGTGGCGAGAGGAGGACGGGAGGGCGCTCGCCGCGGCGGCGGCGGCGCACTGGTGGGCGACGGCCCGGAGCGTGCTGCTCGGGACGCACGAGCGGGTCGGGGCGGCGAGCCCGCTGCGCAGGCTGCCGCTCGCGTTGGTGCGCTTGATCCTCGAGGCAGCGCGGCCGCAGTGTGAGGTTGCCGCCGAGCTGGTGGCGGAGGCCGGGCCGGCGCCGAGTGAGCCGCGCGCTGGTGCGGGCGGCGCGGACCTCGACTTTGTGGCCTCGCTCGTCGGCTGAGTCAGGTGGTGTTCGTGCTGGGGCGTCACATCGGACTGGTGATTCCGGAACTGTGCTGTACTTTACCTCTTTTTATTAGAGGCGACGCAGTGTTGTCGATTCACTCGATTGAAGATTTTGAAAACACATTTGATAAAAAATCTAAAAAAAATCTGTGTGAGTGTGCAACAAGATCAGGCAGAGAAGGCGAGACGGCGGCGAGGCCGCGGTCGAAGAAGTATAAGAGGGGAAGGCGGGCTCCGCGCAGCCCGGCAGCCGACGCCGGACCATCCGGAAAGCGAACAGGAGGGAGGACCACCGGGAGGAGAGGGGCGAGCCCCCTCGGATGGGGGGTGGGGGGATCGGGCGGAGGAGCCCTGAGTGGCGATGTCGGGTGAGAGCGTACGTCATGCTCGTGTCTGGTGTTTACTAGCTCCGAGTAGAGGGCGTTCCGCCGCTAGGCGGGACACCCAAAGCGCAGAACCAACCCTCGGAGACTGCTGCTGCTGCTGCTGTTACGTCTTCGGTCCCCGCGGGAAGCCCCGCGCATAGGACAACAACGTCTGTCCCACACACACACAGACGCGCACATACATCATGCTCGGGCACACCCCACAGTGTAGTGGTGTGAGTACACAAATACTAGCACTCTGCTTGGCCAAAGTACAGGTTTCGATCCGGGCCACCGCAAATTTTGATCAGCAAATTTCGAGGGGCGGCCGCAAATTTTGAGGTAGATTTTGATTGTCAAAACGTGTCCGTCTTGGCACAGGATAGAGCGCATATAGGCGGCGAACACCCAGGGGCGCAGGGACATCGCGACTCTGCCCGCTCGCTCGACCCTTTTGCCGCGAGAGGGCGCCGGCCGCGTGTAAGAGGTGGCTGGCGCCCTGAGGCGGCAATTGGTGGCGTGGGGAGTGCGGAACGCTACTGGCGGCGCGACAGGGCCTCTCTCGATTGCGTGTGCCGCCCATCGGCACGCGGGTGCGCAGACATCGCGACTCTGCCCGCTCGCTCGACCCTTTTGCCGCGAGAGGGCGCCGGCCGCGTGTAAGAGGTGGCTGGCGGCCTGGCGCCCTGAGGCGGCATTTGGTGGGGTCAGCGTGCGGTGCTGAGTCTTACTCGTCGGCGCTGGGGCCACAGATCCCAGCGCAGAACTCTGCAACGCTGGCATACAAACACAAGAAGACTAACCCTAACCCTAACCCTAACCCTAACCCTAACCCTAACCCTAACCCTAGGTCAGCGTGCGGTGCTGAGTCTTACTCGTCGGCGCTGGGGCCAGATCCCAGCGCAGAACCCTGCAACGCTGGCATATACAAACACAACAAGACTAACCCTGACCCTAACCCTAACCCTAACCCTAACCCTAACCCTCTAACCCTAATAACCGCCTAACCTAACCCACCCCCACAACTCCACACCGCAAATTTGAAAGATTTTGATGAAAATCAGGCCCGACTGCAAATTTCTTCAAAATTTTCGCAGGCGCTCCGCGCCTGCAGATTTTGAAATAAATTCGAGAGACGCCCGCGTCCCACGGCTCTTGTTTCTGTCATGGAATTGTTTCTGTCATGTACGTAATGCGCTATGCGGGGCCCGTTGTGGGACGGGACGCTCGCCACACGCGCGCCAACACCTTCCTTGTCTCCAAGCGAACCAAGCCGCCGCCGCGCCGCGGCCCGGCGCCCGATGTGACCAGCCGGCGCGCGGGTGTACGCACTGCCAGCTCACACCAGACACTCGCCACAGCGAGACAGCGCGGCCACATGCATTCAAACGTAAGAAGCAGAGTACTGCGCTTTCCGCACCGGAAAGGGCGGGAGGGCCTCCCTCCCAGCGCTCACTCGATCACCTCCACCTCCTCGTCGTCGTCGTCCTCGTCGTCCTCCTCCTCCTCCTCCTTTTGCGGCAGCGGCGGCGGGGCGGCGGCGGTCTGAGACGCCTTGCCCTGCCGGCGCCGCTTGCTGAGCGGCGCGTCCTCGTCGTCGTCGTCGTCGTCGTCGTCCTCCTCCTTCTTGGTTGGCGGCTGGGCGGCCTCTGCGGACGGGCTGCCGGGCGCGGGCGCGAAGGCCTCCATCTCGCGCGCGTGGCGGGCGCGGTCCCGCTTCGAGGCCTCCACCCACGGCGCCTTTGCCTCGTCGGAGAGGGACCTCCACCTGTTCACAGCTCGGCGCCTGAAGTACCGCCCTCCTCACCCGCACCAGTTCTGGTCGCAGAGGGGGCGTCCACTTTGCGCCGAGCGCCTTGCCCGCCTCGCCAAAGGAGAGCGGCGCGTACTCGGCCGCCTGCCGCTCCTCCTTGCACCAGAGCGTGTACGCCGAGGCCACCCCCTTCGGCGCGCCAGCCGCTTTCTTGGCCCGTTTTCCCGCCGGCTTGCCCTCCGGCTTGGCCGCAGACTTGGCCGCGGGCTTTGGCAGCGCCGCCGCCTCGCTGCCGCCCGCCTCCGCCTCGCCTCCGGACCGCGCCGCCGCGGCGCGTGGCTTCGTCGCCGGCGTCCCGACGGGCACCTGCCGGCGGGACGGGACTTGAGGGCGACTTGAGGGCGCGGCGCGGCGGGGCGGGGCGGCGAGTGACGGGGCGTGCAAAGCTGGGGCGTGCCTCGCGAGAGGAGATGTCTCGCCCTTCGAGGGCGTCGACCGCCCACTGCCGGTGCTCCGCCTCGAGCTCGTCCAGCCCGCCGATCGTGGCGGCCGTCACCGAGACGCCCTCGACGGACAGGTACCGCGTGAGCAGCGCCGCAGCATTCGCCGGCTTGTAGATCTGCTGCGCCTGGCGAGGAGGGGCGGCGCCGCTCGTCCTGCTTCCTTTGGCGAGTGTGCCGCCGCGTCCCCTCTTCACGCGCGCAGCTGTGAGCGCTGCCAGCGGACGGGCGCGGCGGTGCCACGAAGCGGCGGCGGCAGGGCAAGGGCCCGAGCTAAGGCGGAGGGCGGGCGCGCCTTTGCGACGACTTGTCCGCCGCACGAGGTCTTCATCATCCGCATCAGCAGGCGCGGCTCGCCTTTGCCGATCAGAGCGCCATCGCGGTCCGCGTTGCACCGCGCGCGGCCCGTAGGCGCGTACTCGATGCGCATGTTGAGCGCGAAACACTGCGGGTGCATCCACTGACGGATGCGGCGGCAGAAACGCGTGAGCGTGAGGGGGCGTGCGGAGGCGTTTCGCCGCAGGGAGCCGGGTTCGAGGGCGGGCGCGTGAGGGCGGAGACGGGATGGCGGGGTGGAGGGCGACGCGCCTTCATGCAAGACACGCCGCTCGAGCGCCCAACCATGCCGACGCGATTCTCGCCCTTCCCGATCGACTCGCCGCAGGTCTGGCACGAGGACCGTCCAGAGGTGGCGACGACGACTTCGGGGTGGTCCTGCTGGCTCAGTCCCGACATGTCGCCTCGGTGGTCGGCAGGACGCTCTTTCTGGTCGTTGGAGCGAGAGGAAGAGAAATCGGAAAGGCACCATCGTAGAGCACTTAAGTGCAAGTGCTCTGTGTCTTGATTTGCCAATAATATACCCCAGACTTGCGTCACTACGTGCCTCCCCGTCTTTGTTACCTTTCCTTTTGTGCCCCTTTTGTCCCGCTCCCGTGCCCCCGAGTTCATTTTACACAACAGACTTGTTTCTCGTTTGAGTCTCTCTTCTCGTTTGTGTGGAAGCTTCTCGGCAGCTGCTTCTCGGCCCGCTCCGTCGGCCCCCGGCAATGCTCCGCGCTGTAGTTGGTAGAAGTCCGTCGGCAATGCTCAGCGCACCAGTCCTACTGTCGAGCCTTCTGCTGCTGCGCGGGTCGGAGGCCTTCTCGCCCGTGGCGGCCAGAGCAGGCGGCGTCGGGAGCCCGTGCCGCGCTGCTGTACGCCTCGGTTTCTTTGACATGTTCCAAGAGTCGGCCGAGTCCAAGGCGCGCAAGGAGGCGGAGTGGGAGGCGCAGCAAGCCATGCTTGCGCGGCGCCGCAATCCCGAGGCGATGGAGGCGTACCAGAGCGAGGTGGAGGAGCGCCGCGCGGAGATTTCATCCAAGGACGCAGAGCTGAAGGAGCTGCAAAAAACGGGAGACATCGAGGCCTGGGAGGCGCTGCGAGCGGAGGGCAAGCTGCAGGGCTCGGACGAGCTCGAGCGCGAGGCCGGCGAGCGCTCGTGGGGCGGCGAGGGCCTCGTGGCCGAGCGGATAGACACCCGGCTTCCCTTTGTCGACTCGGGGTACGTGGACGAGTCGGCCCCGTCCTTGCCCGACATGCCCGACCTGCTCGGCGGGCTCAAGGGGCTCTTTGGAGGCGGCGAGGAGAAGAGCGAGCAACAGTGAGATGATGGAGGCGCGGCAGTCCCGTTTTGTGGCGGTAGAGTCCATGTTTCCCATCTGAATCTATGACTATGTCCCGGGGCCCTCTGCCTCTCCGCCGTCTCTCTCTCTTTGTAGAGAGAGATTTTTTAGCAATACCAAACAACTCTAACACTCACACGTCAGTTGGGGCCTTTTGTTTTTGTTGCTCTTTTCATGGATTCGTCGGAACGCTGCTGGATCTGTGCAGGGTCTAGGAGCACTTGGAGCACTTGGAGTGCAGTCAGTACTCCACATCCAGGGCCGGGGAGCTGAGAAGCGCACCCAGCGGGCCGGATGATCGGCATCGGGCTACGGGCTAGAGAGCCCTGACCCCTAGCTAGGGGGGGGTGCGCGTTCGCAGGGAAAGGGCCGTACGGGGTGTGGACCCTGAGTTGACCAGGGGTTGTGCGCTGGGCCCTCCTGCTCGGCTCCAGCCAGTAGACAAGTCTTGTCATCAACAGAGTAGAAGGATCTGACCTCGGGGCCGATGTGACCAAGCGCTGGTAGCGTGGTTTTACCTCACACCCACGGTCTCACAGTGTGCCGGCAGTCGCCGAGCAGTGTCGCTCACACAAGCCGCAGCACAAGTGACTGAGGGCCAGTGAGGGCGAGCCCATCGCTGTCACAGCTGTGGCAGCCGCACAGTAGGCTGTGTCAACTGTGCAGAGTGTGTGAGCAGCAGAGGAGCTGCTCTCCAGGCTTCTGTCGCAAAGAGCTGCATGCCACCGAAAGCGCTGTCGAGGTTCGCCGAGCGCGGCGCAGGTTGAGGGACACCGTCACCGACGAGCGCGTTGGAGTATTCACTCCGGACAAAGACAGTGGCACGCACACGAGCTGCGGCCGTGCCACTGTCATAGTGGCGAGGCGCGGGACCGTCTGTGGCGAAGTGGGTCGCGTCCCTCGATTTCCTCAACTCACGGTCCGCTCCCTCTATAAGGGTAAACACGGGTCTCCGAGGGTTGGCTCCGCGCTCCGGGTTTCCCCTAGCAGCAGACCGCCCCCTCTACTCGGAGCTATAATGAACACCAGACATGCACACGACACGCACTCTCACACGACGTCACCGCTCAGGGCCCCTTCGCGCGGGGTCCCCATCCCCACTCCGGAGGAGGCTCCCCTCTCCTCTGAGTTCTTCCTCTTGTTCGCCTTCCGTCTAGGTAGAGAATTTCTGTTTATTTTCAGAAGGAACGGTTCAATCGGTGTACGGTGGCCATGTATGTGTGTGTGGCCTGTGGCGCGCGATGCGGAGAGAGAGATTTTTAGCAATACCTTAAAGAGAGGTTACATACAGGCGTGTAAGGTCCGTTAGCCAATACCAAACAACTCTAACACTCACACGTCATTGTTTTGCGATGCGGTGACACAAAAACGACAAACATGAAACAAAAACGACCGACACGTTGTCGATGTCGTTGAGAGAGAGATTTTTTTCTTCTTGAGATTTTTGAAAACCCACAAGAAATCACGACTCTCACAGTGATTTGGGCTCGGCAGCTTGTCAGCCCGTCACGTTGACACGCACGACACAAAAACGCTCCAGCCTCAAAAAGATCTGTCTCTCCTTCTCTCTCTCTCTGTTAGACCTAAAGGTCGGCGCCGGCAAAAGGTGGCCTAGTTGGTCGAAGCGCCGACCTTTAGGTCTAACACTCTCTTCATGCAACAACCTGCTCCACGAGACCTGAGACCTCCCGCCTCCCCCACAGTCCCCCACCAAGTCGTACGCGCTGTCACACGAAGACTGTCATGAGGAAAAGAGTAAAACCGTTACATGATAAAAAAAGGCAAGGAGGTGGGCGCGGTGGGACTAAACAACGGCGTATCCACTACATCGTGCGGCCCTACACCTTGGAACCCCTGCTCGTTCACCACTGCCTTCACCTCCCTCTCCTGCTCCTGACGGAGCGATCGGTGCCATCGTATGGTCTCCAATCTCAGCGAGAGTGACCTCTATAGCTGGCTCCGTTCTCTCGACACTGAGTCGCGCGCTCGGTTGCTACGGTCGCTCTCCACGCTCGAGCAGCAGCAGCCCAGCGAGCAGCAGCCCAGCAGCAGCAGCGAGCCGCAGTTTGCGGCACAGCCAGCGTGCAGTCAGGACCTCCAGCTGGGAGCCGAGCCTCCGCCTGAAGCGGGCAGGCCGGCTGGCCCGCTGCAGCCGCCGCCACCGCCGCCGCTCCCGCTTCGAGTGGTGCCGCAAGCGCAGGCGCCGTCCGATGGGGAAGAGCCTGGGGAGCCGAGCGATGGCCTCCTTCCGCGCAGGGTGCGCTTCGGTGATCGCATTCTCGAGGGAGCCGCCGCCGCGGCAGCCGCCGCCGCCGCAGCTGCCGCCTCCCTCACTTCATATCGCGGTTCGCCTCCAGAAGGTTCGGCGCCGCCAGAGGACGCGTGCGCCGCGCTAGAGGCCGTCATCGTCGACGTCGATCCCGCGGCAGACACGGCTCCCGAGGCTGCGACCGCGGAGGCGGCGCCGCTTGCCGCCCCGGCAGGCTTGCCGCTACCCACGGCGATTCCACCGCTGCCGCAGCCGGCTTCGCCATTGCAGAGGCCGCCGCTGGTGCCGCCGCCGCCGCCTCCTCCGCCGCCTCCGCAGCCGCAGCCGCAGCAGGGCCAGCCGTCGGGACAGCAGCAGGGTCAGCCGTGGGGACAGCAGCAGGGGCAGCAGCAAGGGCAGCAGCAAGGGCAGCAGCAAGAGCAGCAGCGGGGGCAGCAGCAAGGGCAGCAGCAGGGGCAGCAGCAGGGGGTCGAGGCAGAGGGCTCCTCGTCGGAGCCCTCCTGCGCTAGCGCCAGCGGCTGGCTCTCGCAGTCCGCCCCGAGCAGGCTCGCCCTCGACCGAGGCGCCGGAGGAAGAGGCAGCAGCACGACGATGTCGCAGATGCGGTACCTGGACCCGGCCGACCCCGAGGCGCCGCTGCGCGAGGTGTGGGGCCCCGTCCCCCGGCCGGTCGACCAGCTGTGGCAGCTCAACAGCTCGGCCGAGCTCGTCCTCTTTGCGCTCACTTGCGTCCTCCACCTCGCTACCATCTGCGCCGCCGTCGGCCTCGGGTTCGGGCGCGAGGCGGTGCCGGCGCAGGAGGACTACTTCGGGTGCAGCGGCAACATCAGCGGGCTCGTGGGCGAGGAGCACGTCGCCGCCGCCGCCGCCGCCGCCGTCGACATGATCCTCTCGCGCGCCCTCCTCGCCGAGGCCTTTCTGATGGCTGCGTGCCTCACCTTCCTCGCCACGCGGCGCTGCTCGGCCGCCCTCGCGATGGGCGTGCTCGGGTGACGGGCCACTGCCCCTCTGCGGCGCGCGCCCCGCCCCTCGGCGGTCCACGCCCCTCGCTGCAACCGTGCAGGTGGCACATCCTGCAGTACACGCCCGCGGCGCTCGCGTCGTCGTCGCACCCAGACGCGCTCTGCGACCTCGTGCTGCGGCGCGAGCGGGCGGCGCGTGCTCCGGCCAGCGAGGGGTGGTGCTTCACGGCGCTGGCTGTGAGCAGGTGGGAGCTGGTTGCGTACGGAGAGCTCTCCCTCTCCCTCGACGGCTACATGTGGGTGCTCACCCTCCTCCCGCTCCTCGCCTCGTGCGTGCTTCTCTCGCTGCTGCTGGTGCGCCTCGCCCACACAACCACTCCTCCGCACACGAGCCGCCACCCCTCCCCCCCTGCCCCCTCCCTCGGCCCCCCTGCCTCGCCCGCTCCCCCCCTCCGCCTCAGCCCCCGCGCCCCACCGCTTCCTCCACCCGCCACACATCAACACACCACACACGCACACGCCCCGCCCGCTCCGCGCCAGGTGCGCCTCCGCGTCGCCAAGGCGACGGAGGCGATGCGCATCGCCGAGCTGCGACTCCGCTCCTCGTCGCGCGAGTCGCAGCTCTCGGTTCCTTCGTCGACGGTCCGCATGAAGCGCGCCATCCGCACGTCGGACGCGCTCGCCGCCGCCGACTTTTGCTCGGCGGTCACCGCTTGCTTCACGGCCGCCGCGCCGCTGCTGCTGCCGCAGCTGCCGTCGCTCCGCTGCGAGCAGAGCCTGTACTCGCCGTCGCACGAGTGCCCCGACGGCGGGAGGGCGGGCGTCGGCCTCTCCCTCGCGCTGGTGCTCGCCTACTACCCCCTCCTCCTTCTCCTCAACGCACGGTTGCGGGGAGGGTTCGGCGGGGCGAGGCGTCCCATGCCGTTCGGCCGGGTCGCCGTCGCGGTCGCCCTCCTCGCCGCGCTCGGCGCGAGGGCGAGCCTGCTCGTCCTGCTGCCGGTGACGCTGCTCAACGTGCTCTCCACGGTGCTGCAGGCCCTCTCCGCCGCCGCCACGCTGCACATGTTCCGCTCCGTGCGCGCCGCCTCGCGCTCGCAGCTGCGCGCGCTGCGGAACATCCGAAACGGCACTTTCCACCCGGTGCCGCTTCGCTTCCAGTCAGTGCTGCGTGTCAAGGACGCGTCCGACATCGAGGCGCTGCTGCGCGGCTGCACCGCCGTCCGCGTCGACGGCGTCGTCGTACGCCGCGTGCCGACCCGGCGCGAGCGCGCCGCGGCGAGCTGCGCGCGCGTGCGGGCGCGGCTCGGCCAGTCCGCGTGCGGCGGCTGGCTGCTGCGCGTGCCCGCGCGCGTCGGGGAGGCGCTGCTGAGCGCCCTGGGCTGCCTCTGTTGCTGCTGCCCGACGCCCGTCCGCGCCACCGCCCGCGCCGCCCGCTCCTCCCTCGGCCGGCTGCTCGGCGGCGGGAGGCCCGCACCGCGCGGCGGCGACTCCTTCCACAGCAGCGTCGACTCGGAGCAGGGGCTCGGCAGCTCGTCCGAGGGCCGGCGGCGCGGCGCGGCCAAGCCGAGCGAGCTGTCGATCCTCCCGTCGAGCGAGCGCCAAGTGCTGGTGCAGCTCTCGTCCGACCTCGCCACGATCAACATCTGCTGCCCCTCGGGCCACCGCGCCGGCGCGCGGCTGCTGCGTGACGGGCACGAGGTGGCCGCACCCCTGCCCGGCTCGCCCCGACGCGGCGCCACACAGTCGCACCGACGCTCCACCGGCCACGCCGCCTCGCTCGCAGGTGATGCCCTTCCGGCTCGAGTCCGCCTCGCGCGTCACGAGTGCGCTCGCCACGCCCGGCACCACCAGCCCTCGCGTCGCAATCTCCTTCCGCCAGTCGGGCCAGCTCCCCTCCTTCACCGCGCTCCTCGAGTTCTCCAAGCCGGCCGAGGCCGCGCCGTGGCTCGCGCTGGGCAGGCTGCTCGAGGCGCCGCCCGACGTGCTGCCGCGGCGGTGGCGCGCCCTCTACCTGCGCGCCTTCACCGCCTCGTGCAGCCAGCCCGCCCTCGGCCTCGTCGTGCCGGTCGAGCTGGACGCCTTCCTCCGCCGGCTCAACCTCGACCCGCAGGCGGCTCGGCCGCCGCCCTCGGCGCCGCGCGCCCGCACGCCGGGGCCCGTGACACGTCCACCCGCCCTCGACCCGCGCAGGTGGTCCTGTCGCACGAGCACGACCAGCGCGGGGCGGAGCAGCCGCCGCTCTCCGCGCTGGTCGGCTTCACGCGTGCATGCTCGCTGCTCCGCCCCGTCGCGCGCTGCCGCCGGCTCGACGACGAGCTGAAGAGCCTCGGGCAGCCGCCGCCGCGATCGCTGAGCAAGGCGGCCGCCCTCCTCGCGCCGGAGGCCCCCTGCCTCCGTCTCTGAGCACGCCTCGTTGGTTCGCAGGAGGCCTTCCTCAGGCTCATGCGCGCCTTGCGCCGGCCGCTCGGGCCCGCCGACGTGAGGCCGGACGCCGCCGAGGTGCCGCCCGAGGGGAGGAGCGCGAGGCGGGAGGCGGGGCGGGAGTGCGCTGCAGCGTGTGTCGCGGTGGCCGTAGGCGGATCGGCGCCGGAGGTGCGAGCAGGGGCGCCGCACGCTCCCGGACAGCGACGACGAGAGCCGCCGCTCGCTCGGCTCGCGGTATAGCGGCTCCGGCCGCTTCGGCTCGAGCCGCTTCTCTCTGCTGTGGGAGCGGCCGGAGCAGCACTCTGAGACGCGCGTGGCGCGGGGCGGCTCGCACGAGAACCTCTTCTCGAGCTGGTCGGGGCTCGGCCGCCGCAGGGCCACCACGGAGCAGGTCAAGTGCAGCTTGGGCCGCGAGGAGATTGACAAGATCGTCAAGCCGGGCGCGACCGAGGCGGAGGCACGCGGGGCGATCGCGCTTGAGCAAATCCTGAAGAAGGAGCGCTTCACACAGCCGGAGGAGGGCGGCGTCGCTCTGAAGACACGCCGTTTACACCTAGCGCGCTGTGAGCAGGAGCTCGTCCTCGCGAAGGGCCGCTCCATGTCCTTTACGTCGCACGCGTCCGGCGGCTCGAGCGACGAGGAGCTCGACGAGTCGTCAAAGCTGAGCGAGAGGACGGAATCAGTGGCCTCGAGGAGCGGCGAGGCGTCGCGGTCGGCCGAGCGGCGCGAGAGGGCCGGCCTGGCAGGCATGATCGGTGCGTCCCTCCGGTCGCTGGTCCCGCCCCTCTCGCCGGCCAAGCCTGCGGCGCCGCGGCGGCAGCGGTCGCACGACGGCGCGGCGGCCGAGATTGCACTCGCTGACATCGCGGAGGCGGCGCCGGCGCCGGCGAGGCCGCCGACGCGGGTCGCTCCTCCCCGGAGGCAGCGGTCGTACGACTCAGTCGCGGGCGGGCTGACCTCCAGCCTCCCTCTCGTCGTCAGCCGCCACCGCCGGCAGGCGTCCGACTCCGACCTGTGCGGCAGCGGCGGGAGCGAGGGACACCGCGGGCTCGCGGGGAGCGGCACAGCCCCGCGGCGGCACCAGCGGCAGCTCTCGTGGAACGCCCCCCTGCGGCGGCTGGGGCACCCCGGGGGAGGCACCCCGCCGCAGCTCGAGGTGCAGCTCCCGGGAGAGAGCCTTGCGCGGCGCCGCTCGTCGGAGCTGTCCGCTTCTCTGCCCGATGGCGGGCGGGCCCAGGCCCTCTTCGGCGCCGTGACCGCCATACAGTCCTTTCGCTCGCGCATCCGCGTGAGCCAGCTCTCGCCCGAGCAGGCCCGCGGGTCGGACACCGGCTCGGCGCTCAGCGCGCACGGCCACCGGCGGGCCAGGCCGCGGGGCCAGGCGACGGCGGTGGCGCGGGCCGGTCAGGAGGGGGACGCGGAGGCGCGCGCCGCGTTCGAGGCGTACGCTACGCGGGTCAACGGGGCGCTCCGCCTCTCCCGCGACGAGCTGCTCGGCGTCGTGTCGGACCCGGAGCTCAACGGCGCGGTGCACCCGCGCGAGAGCGCCGTGTGGCACGACATGACCCAGCCGCTCTCGTCGTACCTCATCTTCACGTCGCACAACACGTACCTCGTCGGAGAGCAGGCGAGACACAGCCGAGGTCTAGCCGAGAGGTGGCCCTCGGAGCATTGTCCCTCGAAGCTGACCCATCCGTCCACCCCCGCCCCCTCTCGCCGCGCCCCGGACTTATTGGAGCGCGCGACCCAGCACGCGTGCCACGGCCCCCGGCACGGCATCAACCCCCCCCCCCTCTCCCGCTCTCCCCCTCACCCCAGGTCGTGGGCCTCTCCCTCGCCGCCGCCTACTCGCGCGCCATCGCAATGGGCTGCCGCTGCGTCGAGCTCGACTGCTGGGACGGCGGAGCGCCCTCGTATGAGCCGATCCTGACGCACGGCAAGACGCTCACCTCCAACATCAAGGCGCGCGACGCGATCGCCACCATCGCCGCGGCGTACGAGGCGCTGCCTCCCGCCGCGCGCACGCCGCTCGTGCTGTCGCTCGAGATGCACTGCACGCCGCCGCAGCAAGTCAAGCTCGCCGAGCTCTTCAAGGCGGCGCTCGGGGAGCGGCTGCTCCCGCCGGGCGACGGCGTGCTGCGCTCGCCCCTCGAGCTGATGGGCCGCATCCTCCTCAAGGGGCGGGTCGTCCCCACCACCCACCCCGCCTTCAAGGGCTCCTCCGCCGCCGCCGCGCTGCCGCCGCGGCCCGCCGCGCAGGGCTCGTCCGAGGACGCCGCCCCCGCGGCGTGCGACGCGCACGCGTCGGTGCGCCAGCTCTCAAACGTCTTTGCGCCGCAGCGGTCCGAGTCGGGGCTCAGCATCGGGTCGCTGCAGCGCGGCGAGTCGAGCAGTTCCAACGGGACGGCCGCCGGCTCGGCTGCCGGCTCGCTGCAGCGCGCCGACTCGAAGGCCTCCGTCGCCGGCTCGCTGCAGCGAGGCGAGTCGGCCGGCTCGGTCGCCGCCTCGCTGCCGCGCGACGAGTCGAGGGACTCGGTCGTGGGCCCGCTGCAGCGAGGCGAGTCGGCGCCGGTGATCGGCTCGCTGCAGCGAGGCGAGTCCACCAGCTCGGTCTACTCCGACTACTCCGTCGGCACGGCCGCGTGCTCCAACTACTCGGGCACGACCGCCGACTCGCCGCGCCACCGCGACGGCTCGCCCGAGCGCCGGGCCGCAGCAGCGGGGGTGGGCGACGGCAAGCGGCGGCCGCGGAGGCCGCGGCCGCGCGGCGCGTCTCGCGTGTGCAGCAAGGCGTCTGCGGCCCTCTCCTACCTCTCCACGGCGGGCCGCTCGGCGGCGGGCGGCGGCGGCAGCGGCAGCACGGTGCACTCGGGCCGGCTGAGCATGGTCTCCTTCGACGACGCTGCGCCGGTGAGCCGGAGCTTCTTTGTGCAGCTCCGCTCGTGCGACGGCGCCCGGCCGCAGCTGTGGCTCCACGGCGAGCGGCGGGCCGAGCTTGCTGCCGGCGGGCAGGCCGCCCCCCCCGAGGGCGAGCAGCAGGAGGCCGGCCCGCGGGGCGACGCCAAGGGCGGCGGGCTGCCGGAGACTGCCGACGCGCTGCTGTCGGAGGTGTCTGCCGTCGGCCCGCTCCCGTCGGGCCCGGCCGCCGCGGTGGCCGCCGCCGCGGCCGCCGTCGAGGAGCAGCCCGAGCTGCTCGAGGTGACGACGCAGGCGACGGCGAGCGGCCGCCACCTCAGCGTCGTCTACCTCGACGACGCGGCGAGTGGGCGGGCCGAGGAGAACGCCGAGCCGGCCGGCGGCGCCACAGCGAGTGGGTCGAGCGCGCCGCGGTTCCTAGACGCGGTCGGGTCAAAGCACTGCGTGTTTGAGGCCCCGAGCGAGGCGGCGGCGGCCGAGTGGGCCGCGGTCATCAACGACGAGCTCTGGCGTTCGGAGCAGTTCAAAGGGCTCAACCGCGACCGCATCTCGCCCGACCTGTCCGAGATCACCCACCTCGCTTCGCGCAAGCTGGCCGCCGCGCCGGGCCACACGTGGCAGCCGACGCAGATGTGCTCCATCAACGAGCGCGAGGCGACCCGGCTGCTGCGCGAGCTCGACTCGGAGCAGATCGTCTCGATCAACCGGACGCGCCTCTGCCGCGTCTACCCGCACTACTCGCGCTACGCGAGCGACAATGTGCGCGTCCGCCGCCGCACACGCAGCGCCGCCGCACATGCAGTGCCGCCGCGTTGCCGCCACGCGTGCGCCGGCCCCGCTGCGGCTCCATCCCCCCCTACCCCTCCCCTCCCCCTCCACTCTCCCCTCGCGGCAGGTCGAGCCGGAGCTCTTCGCCAACCTGTCCGCCTCCGGCTTCCAGATGGTCGCCCTCAACCTTCAGACCCCCGACGACGCCTTCGTCTACGCCTCCGCGCTCTTCAGCCAGAATGGCGGCTGCGGCTACCTGCTCGCTCCGCCGCGCTCCACCGGCCTCGCGCTGCGCGTCTCGCTGCTCTCGGCGCGCCACGTGCCAAAGGTTGGCGAGGGGCGCGTGGCCGAGCCGCCTCCTCCGTGGCACGGCAGCGTGCCGCGGCTCGACACAAAGAGCGAGCCGCCCTCCGGCGCCACGGAGGCTGCGGACGTGTACGTCACGATGCAGGTCATCGGGCCGGGCTTCTGCTGCGCCGTCAACCGCAGCGTCGCCGAGGGGCCGGGCGAGGCGGCAGACACCGACGCCGTCGCGAGGCTGAGGGGCCTGCAGCGGTGCGTGTGGCGCTCCTCGACCGTGCTCGGCAACGGCTTCAACGCCGAGTGGGGTGTCGCGCACGCGGACGAGGAGGGGCGCGCGGGCGCGGGCGGCGCGCCGCGCGCTGCCGCGGCCGAGGAGGCCGAGGTGCTCGCGTCTCGGCCCGAGCTGTCCGTGCTGCGTGTGTGCGTGTGGTCCGCGTCGTCGGCGCCCCTCAGCGCCTCCAACGGAGTGCCGGCCGAGTGGCTCGCGCCGTCGACCCTGCCGAGCCTTAAGGAGGTGGCGCAGAGCTCGGACACGCTGCTGGCGTACGCCGCCGTGCCGCTGCTCTCGCTGCGCGGCGGCGTGCGCGCCCTGAAGATGATGCACCCGAGGGGCGAGCCGATCGAGCTGTGCTCCGTCCTCTGCGACATCTCCCTCGCCGACGACGCCGTCCCCTTTGACGACCTCTCGGGGGCGGGGTCGACCCCGCCGAGCGCGCTCGTCCCGGCGCGAAGTGGCAAATCGCTCCTGCGCAAGTTCATCATGCGCAGGGGCACATCGTCATCCACGTTATCGTCCTGCTCCGGTGGAGCAGCGGTCGCTCCTGCCGCCGAGGCTTGAGCTTGTCTGTAGTCTACGTATCCGACTCTCCTGCATATTTCGGGTTCGCATGGTGTGTGTGTGTGATAGAAAATAACATTAGGTCTCTAAACTGCCGAACGTGGTGACAAAGACCGTCATGGGAGCGCGGGTGCGGCAGCAGCGAGCAGGCGGGGGTGCCACACGGAGCGCACCACGAGAGGATCATGCGGGGAGAGGCGGGGAAAGAGACCCCGGGCGCCGCCACGAGGAGCGAACTCAGGGGCTGCCTCGTCTGTAAGGCCGCGAGGGACGCGGCGAGGAGGGCGGCACTAAAGCGAGACCCGCTGTGTCCAGTCGCGCGGAAAGCCGCGCAGCAATGGACCGAGGAAGATGAGAACCCGCCTAGGGCGACAATGGCGCACTTGCTTAGCGGCGCCTGCCTGGGGAATAGGGAGCAGGCCAGATGGTTCCTCAGAGTAGCGCGAGCGCAGACGGGGACGGCGATCAGCAAAGTAGCCCAGGCGGCACCCGACTCCAAGGATACGCTGAAGACGCTGAGGAAAGCGCATGTCGCTGCGCTGAAGGGCTCACGCTATAGGGTGCTGGATGAGGACGGGTACGATGCACTAGCCCCAGCCGTCGGGGGGGTGTTGCCGGCGCTGGTAGATGATCTCTCGGAGAAGAGCCGGAGGGACCTTGGCGCCGGGGTCACGAGGAACTTGCAAGTCGTGGCCGAGGCGGCGACGGGAGCGGTGCAGAGGTGGATCCAGCTCAATGATGAGGCTACGGCGCGCATAATGAAGAGAGAGGAACACATCGAGTGGCTGAGGAAGCTCTTCACTGGGTGGAAGGAGGCTCGGCCGACCTTGAGGGAGTCGCGGAGGAGGAGGGATAACGGAGGTAACGTGCAGACAGGCCAGCAGCCAGTGGGACGAACGAGGGCCGCGACGGCGGCTCAAGCGGGAGGGAGCGGAGACGGTGGGCAGCGAGCGAAGTGGGTGAGACTGATGATGCTCCTTCGACTTAGGGAGCGGTGCAGCTGCTGGGCGGGCTTCAGGCTGGTGCTCACGCGAAAAGGAATCGACGCGATGTACAAAGCATACAAGAAGAGGAGAAAGAAGAGGACGGACATCAGTGATGACGAAACAGAAGCTAGCGCAGACGAGGGCAGGGCAGACCCGGGGACGGCGGAGTCGGAGCAGACGGCATCGGCCGCCGAGGAAACGTTGGGAAGAGGCACGAGGAGGGCGGCGACCTCGACCGACTATGGAGGACCCGTCGCCAGACGACGCAGGGCAGAAGACGGTGAGGCGGAGCAGACGCGCAGGGCGAGACGAGGGAGGGAGCAGGATGTTGCTGAGATCAGCAGGAGGATGTACGACGAGATTAGGAGCAGCAGGGACCCGAGGGACCATGTGGAAGACGGCTAGTGCTAGTCCCCCATCGGGAGGACGACCCCGGCTAGTCGCCGACCACACCCACAAAGAACCCTGCACAAAGACCGCAGGGCGGGGACTTGTTCCTTTTCCCCATCTCCTAGTAGAGGTGTCCGTTTTATTTATTTATTTATTTAGCAGATTTGGGTACTTGCCCCCGGCAAGCGCGTTTGTTCACGTAATCGTAAACGCACAACCCCGGGCCCGAAATCGCACAGAGTCACGCAACTCTGGGTCCCAGGCGCCAGGGAAGGCGAGCAAAAACCTTATCGCGCGCGCTAGACGCCGACTCGGAGGCCGCACCGGTCAGGCGCGCAGCCGGAGAGAGAGGGAGGCGCTCAATCGCCGCACGCGGCGAGCGCCTCCATCCATCATCTCCGCCTCATACGCACCCTCCACCCCCGCGCCCGCGCCTGTAGCGTCCGTGCGCGCGAGGATGGCCTCGCCGGGTGGTGCGGCCGCAGCAGCTATGGCAGCAACCGCAACAGAGGCAGCAGCAGCGGCAGAAGTGTTCACGCGTTTGTTCACGTAAACGCACAACCCCGGACCTGAAATCGCACAGAGTCACGCAACACGGGGTCCCAGGGAAGGCGAGCAAAAACCTCGCGTTTGTTCACAGCTCAAGAGAGTCAAAAAACTTGCGTTATCGGGGCCGGCTGCACACAGCGGAGTCTCTCGCTGAAATCAACCCCTCAGAGCTCGCATTCCGGTCAATTTAAACCCACGCGCCTTTCTCAACCAATGGCCCTCCGCACGGCGCGTGCTCCTGTTGGGTGGCTGCCGTACTCGCCCGTGGCATTCGCAACCGCGGTGGTGCTGATTAACGCCGCCGTTCGCCTCACTGAGAGCGGCGGCCTCGAGCTGCGGCCGTTATCTGGCGCTGCTGCCATGCTGTCATCTCCGCCGATGCTCTGCTGTGCAGCCGCCGTAGCAGCTGGATGCTCTTGGGCCTGCCGCGCACAGCTCCCGCGAGTCGACCGGCTGGCAGCGATCTGGCACCTTGTGAACGCGACCTTCTTCTTCTTTGGGTGCGACGTGATGAGCGGCTTGTTTGGCGTCGTGCCGGCGATGTCGGAGCAGTACCTGACGATGGACCGGCGGCATGAACGGCGCAGGCACGAGCTCGACGCGATGTACTGGGCCGAACTCGCCGTCCACATCCCCTTCTCGGCGGCCGTCTTTTACGGCTACGTCTCCCGGTCCGCGTGGACGCCGCTGCTGGAGTCCTTCCTCGGAGGCGTGACTCTCCTTGGCACTCTGGCATACTACGTGCCCGAGCTTCTCACCGGAGGGCACAACTGGCTCCCGGGCGCGGTCGGGGTCGCCACCACCGCCCTAGGCGGGGTCTGGATCGCGGTGCCTCTCTGCCTGCTGGCGCGATCGGTCCGGCAGGGCGGCGGCGGCTCCGCCGGCGAGTCGTGGAGGGCGAGGTGAGGAGCGCACCGGACGTGTGGCTGCCACGTGGCGACAGCTTGTTGACTGTTGTCTAAATCGCGGACCGCCGTGACCGCTGTTGCGCCCACGTAGCACGTTCCCCGCCACCTTCGAGGGATATGCGTCTCAGCCTCTCAGGTCCGGAGTTCTACGCTCTTGAGTCTCCTAATGATCCCTAGCTCTCGCCGAAGGCTGAAGAAAAATCGTACCGTGTACTCCGATCTCACACACCGGAATGAGCAAAATGAGGCGAGCGACTGTGAGAGATCGGTGTGAGGCCGCGGGAGCAGCAGACGTTCAGTTTAGCCGATCAGTGGCATCTGGTGACCACCCTCGTACGCCCCCTGCTTAGCTGCGGCTGCCGAAGAGCCGCACGCAGAGGACGAGCGCCGCGGCCGCCACTGCCGCGGTTGCCGCGCCATGCACAACGCCCTCTCTGTAGCTGCGGCCTCGCGGCGTGGGCGGTGACGCGCGTCGCGTCTGCTTGAGGCACCACGCGACCGCCTCCTGCGGCGTGCTTGCAACGCTGTAGTAGTGCGCCACAGGGTGGCGTAGCATCCCGTCGTCGAACGCGCGCTGCATCTGCGCGATCACGCCATCATAGTAGCCGTTGACGTTGAGCAGCAGCACCGGCAGCGAGCCGCAGCCGACACCCACCTCGGCGACTGCCATGAAGAGCTCGTCAAAGGTGCCGACGCCGCCGGGTAGGGTGACGAGGCAGTCTCCCGCGTCGAGCAGCCTCCGCTTGCGCATGGTCAGGTCCGAGCCCTCGACGATCTCGAGCGACTCGAGCGCCGCTGCGTTCTCCTCGGAGAGCGAGGAGCCGCCCGGCTTGACAAACATGCGGTGCGTGATGCCGCGCACGCGGCCGCCGGCCGCGAGCACCGCCTCGTAGAAGGCGCCCATGCAGCCGGCGTTGCCGCCGCCGAATACGGCTATACAGCCCGCGTCGGCGATGCCGCGGCCGAAGGCGGCCGACGCCTCGACGTACGCGGGCGCCGTCTGCGGCGTGGAGGAGGCGAAGACGGTGACGCGGACGGCCATACACGGGTGAGGCAGCCGTCACAACAACCCAGGCGGCAACTGAACGAAAATAACGCACGGGCCCTCAGCGGAGCTGGGAAGAGGACCGCCGCAAGCGGCGTGGCGTGGAGCGGTTGTGCATCCCTCCGGGGGCCCCTCTGCGCCGGGGAGGCGTTGTTGGAGGCTAGGACGCAAGCGTCCGTCGCCCTTTTCAAACTCGGGGCCCACTCCGCTACGCTCCGACCCGAATTTGGAGGGCCTAAAAGTTTAAGGTGTTGCTGCGCAAAAGGGGTCGGACACCGGGCGCAGCTCATGCTAAGAGCTAGAAGAGGAGATAGAGAGAACAACCACCCTGTCCCGTTATTGCGTACACCAACACCACAAAACGCTCTATCTCTCCTGTCCTCACTCAGGGGGGTCACAACTACCGAGTCCCTCGACTAGCGCAGCTGGAGACGCTCCCCCCTCAATCGGCATCCACCCCCACCCGCTCCAGCCCCACTTCTGCTGCCGAGAGAGCTGAATCGAAGCAAGCGAGCCATTGCATCTTGGCGTGCTCCTGCCGGAGCGCGGCTTTCTGCTTGGCGGCCACGAGCACGGCGGAGTCGGCGTCGTGGCGGCCACGAGCACGGCGGAGTCGGCGTCGTAGCGCGCAATCGTTCCCGCTCATCGCCCATTCCTCCCACGTGACGTGTGTCGGCCGCGATTCGATGTCGCCACCTTCATCGCCAACGAGGACTCCCTCGACTGCAGGGGGGCTCCGGCGCGGGGAGGGACTCCGCCTGCTGCGCTGGCCGACTGCGCCCTCCTCCTCCATGGGCTCGATCCGATTCCGCAGCGGCGGTGCTGCGCGGGAGGCGGCCGCGGGCACGCTGGGCTCGATCAGCGGCTTTCCCTCAGTTGCTCCGAAAGCACGATTGGCGGCCGCTCTTGGTTTCAATTTTACGGATGTCTTGCCACCAGCTGAAGGCTTGCCCGGGCGCCGTGTTGACCGCCGGACGAGAAGTTTGCGTCGCCGAACGAAAATCCCACGATATGCACGAATTTTAATTATATTTTTTTCGTGTGGGGGTATGTCATGTAGTTGCCAATGGTACCGCGTCTGCGACGCGGGCGCCTTGCGGGCAGAGCCCTTAGTTAGCCACCCTTATGTCTTGCGCGGTCAAAATATGCAATCCCTAATGCCGTCCTCCCATCCCTCCCTTGATTTTTCTGTTTTCTTTCTTTCTTTATTTAACTGGCGGCACTGGCACACACCGGACAAACAGCGCGGCAGCGTTGACCGCACGGACGGCCTACTCGCCCAAGTACTCGCTCTCTTTTATGTCCCACCATGCAGAGCGCATCTCTCTCTCTGTTGTGCGAGGCGTGAACCGCGCCATTCGCTCTCACCTGGCAACCCTGTCTGCACGTCTCGCGCGCGTGAACAGGGCTCCAGGCCCCAAATTACGTGTGAGTGTTAGAGTTGTTTGGTATTGCTAAAAATCTCTCACACCGGGACTGGGAGGAGGTCCCGCTCGGGTTCGACACCAACCCGATGCTGCTCCGCGCCATGTGCATGGCGTTCGAGTGAACGCCGTGCAGGCAGCCCGTGCCTTTTGGTGTACCGCGTTTGTACCGCGTCCTGTGCCCCCGAGTTCCTTTAATAAAAGCACTGGCACACCTAATAGGTGTACCGGACAGGCTAAAAACGCGGTTCTCCGAATTTGCAAGGCGAGCGCCTTGCAGGCTTGGGGCTAGCCGAGCTCCGCTCGCTTTCACCAACCATGCGGCTGTCGTGCCTCATAGCCGCCGTAGCAGCCAGCATACTGCGGCCATCCTCCGCTCTAACCCCTCCTCCTTCGCCTCCTTTCGCTCCGCCTCCACCTTTGGTGATCGGCGGCGGCGGTGGCAGCAGCGGTGAAGCAGGCAGTGGCACCGAAGGCGAGCCTGAGCCCCAATCCTCTCCTTCGCCGCCTGCTGCGTCAACAGCGTGCGATGAGTCCGCCGACGAGATGGCATGCGGCACCGCCTACGACCCAGACGAGTGTCACATCCCTCTGAGACAAGGCGTGCACGTACAGGATATCTGCCCTTATATGTGTGGGAATTGCAAGCCGCCGCCAGCGATGCCACCGCCGCCCTCGCCACCGCCTCCGTCTCCACCGCCAGCACCGCCACCGCCACCGCCACCTTCTCCACCACCACCCTCGCCTCCTCCTCCATCACCGCCACCTCGGCCATCCCCGCCGCCCACGCCACCTCCGCCCTATTATCCGCCGCCCTCGGCTCCGTCACCCTCGCCGCCGCCGCCATCGCCATCGCAGCCGCCACTGCCGCGGTTCCCTGCACTGTCGTCTCCGGCAGAAGAAGACCTGGTCGACGTGCTGTGCGAGTCGTTGCCCGTGTGCACGCTCGGCGATCTCGAGGAGGACCTCGAGAGTGGGCAAGCCATCGCCTGCCTCGCCGGCCCAATAGTACTGGACGCCGTCACACTCACGGACGCGTGCGCCCTGCTCGTGCCCGGCGCGATCAACGTGTCGGCGCAGGTGGCCGTCTCCGTGCTCGGCACGACGATGCGCTTTCCCGTGGAGGGACAGCACCCCATAGGGAGCGACTTGCAGGACCGCATCTCGGGCCTCGACGGGCTGAGCGCCTTTGCCGCCGTCCGCAACGGCACGGTGGGTGCGCTCGCGCGATACGAGCACGACGACATCCGCGAGGCCTTTGGCCTGCAGTGGCTCTCGCTCAGCAACCTCCAGCTCGAGGCGTGTGTGCGTCATACACGGCACGTCCCGCAACCCTGCCCACATGACCAAACGTAGCTCTGCCCACTGACGTAGGCGGGCTTCTACTCGGAGGTCGTGACCGGCGCGTGGGAGCGCACGACGCGGACCACCTTCTACCTGCAAGCGGAGGGGGCGGCGAGCATGCACTGCCCAGCCTTGGGCGAGGCGTCGACTCTCACAGCGGGCGCACGGCTGCACGTGGGCTACGACAGCCGGACTGCGCTCACGTGGAGCGTCGCCCCGGTTGGCTGGCCCGCGCTGGAGGCGTTTGGCCGCCTCGGCCTATGCCTCATCAGCGAGGCGGTCGGCGTTGACCCCGAGCTGATACGAGCTCTCAACGGCGTGAGGGCCGAGGAGGATTCGGGCAGAGTCTTTGCGCCGTACGAGAAGCTCGAGTGGGCGGTGGGCACGCTCGAGCACCGCCTCTCCGAGGCCCTCGACCACCCTGTCGTCGCGCCGCTGCGGCTGCGCGAGGGCGTCACTGGCATCTACCTGCAAGTGTACGGCCTGACCTCGACCGACCTGCTGCACAGCGCCCTCAATGGACTCGACAAGTTCAGCACGCTCGAGTGGCTCGCCGAGATGTTTCCCATCGACGCGGCACTGACGGTTCCCCACCACGGCTCGGGCGCCGTGAGCTTGTACACGCGGATACGAATCCCCCGCATCGTGATGGTCGAGCCGTCGAGCAGGCACGACGGCGTCGCCATCCGCGGGGTCACTCTTGAGAGCGAGGTCACGAGCGCCGGCCGGTGGGGGACGAGGCTGGCCTCGACCCTCGACCTCTTTGACCTGAGCCTCGACTTCACCGCGGCGTGGACGTCGGAGCACGGGCCCGTCATCACCGTGCGCCTCTACCACGTGACGCTCTTCACCCTCAACTTCTTCGGCCAGCGGCGGCTCGACCTGTACGACGCCGTCCTCCTCCTCGACATCGGCCGCAACAAGCACGCCCCTCGCCCGACCGCTCGTCTCAGTCGGAGCCTCCCCTTCACCTGCTCGGGCCCTCCCCATGCAGGTACCTCCTCACGGGGACGCTCGTCTGGACGGGGCCGAGCGGCGGCACGTCGGAGCACGACTTCACCTTTGACATTGGGAAGGCGATCGCGTACATCTCCAAGATCGTGTCGCTCGCCGCGATGGCCGGCCGGCGGCTGGAGCAGGCGGACACAGGCCTGCTCCAGCCCCGGATCCTGCAGCGGAACGACACCGGCGAGGAGGTCATGGAGGTCCCACTCAAAATCGAGCACATCGAGCAGACGCCGCCGAACACGACCGACGCGGGCGAATGCGTGGACGCGCAGGTGGTGCCCGCGCCGCTTGTCGTGCACGGCAACTACTACGAGGCGGCGGACGAGACCTCGAGCCTCGCGCTCGTCGGCTTCTCCGTCGCCTCCTTCCTGGGCGGCCTGCTCCTCGGGGCGTGCGCGATGGGCGCCACCGTGTACTGCACTTGGCGCGGCGTGGGCGGCACTCTCCACCGCAGCGCGTCAATCGGGATCCCACAGGTTGTCCCTGTGCGGTGCTCGCTCCCGCCCGGCGGCAAGGCCAGCGGACGTCGGCCTTCGCCTGACACCGCTCAACCTCCCCTCGGCGCCACGTGGTCATCGGACATCTGAGCGCGAGGTGCTCCAACCGCGCCGGAGACTATGTGCGGCGCTGGCACGTGGTGGCAGGCGCGCGGAGACACTAGAGCCAGTTGCCGCCGCGTTGTATTGTGCAGGGTTCTTTGTGGGTGTGGTCGGCGACTAGCCGGGGTCGTCCTCCCGATGGTGCCGCGCGACCGGCGAGACACCGCCACCAGACCACCACGCGTCTCTCAGACACTCTCTTGAAGAGCGTCTTCTGTCACTTATTGCTCCCGTTGTGTACACGCATGGTGCATGGGTACGTATCCTTCCTCGTCGCTCGTCGTCGCGGGTTCGAGAGCCTTCCTCATCACCTCTTCGCACTTCGCGGTTTCTCTTTAGCCGCAGCCCCATCTCTTGCCGCTCTTGTGTCGGGTTGTGATGTGAGGGCGGGGGGATGCGGATTGTGAAGAGATCCCTCACAACAAGAGAGATCGTGCAGGGCGGGGACACACATGTACATGTCCATGTCCCTACCCTTTCCAGCCAAGGGATCCGTGTATCCGGGCTGCGGTGACTCCCCCAGGCCAGGGGCCAGCAAGAGGCACGACGGCTCCCATATCTCCCCCTCGTGGTCGCCCTCGCCCCCCGCCTCCTCCAGGAGCCGGGCCGCGGAGTCTTGCTCTAGGTTGCTGATGAACTCGATGGCCTCCACCCCATACAGATATTTTAGTCGGCGAAGATGTGGGTGGCCTCGCCGGCTGGACATCGCTAGGGGGGGACAGTGACTGTGCGGGTAGCCTCGCCGTCCAGGCACCTCTAGGGGGGGACAGCCTAGTCGCTGCGAGCCCGAGTTGGAGTGAGCACTCGCCGTCGTCCAGTGATAGCCCCTTCCACTGGTGAGAGCGTCCTGGGGCGGCGGTCAATCTCGATCGGCGGTCCACGGGGTGGCTGGGCGAACCGAAGAGCCCTTCGTTGGGCTGCAGCCGCCTCGCTCTCCCCCCCCGACGGCCGCCAGCGTACCCACCTCCCGGTCGCCTCCTCAGTCGGGAGCACGTCCCGGCTCATACCCCTCTTGCGGCTAACCGCCGTCGGGCCGAAGCGATCGAGTCGCCGCTGGAGGATGGAGTCCTCTTCTGTGGTGGGCACCCACGGCCATGAGACCGACCCCTCGGCCGGGTCCACTCGCCCCGAGGGGGCTCTCCTCGCCTCCTCCCACCCCTGCCGGCGTCTCCGCTTGCCAGGCGGCGGAACCACCCCACTCGTCCCAGCCTCCCTCGCGCGACCCTGCGGAATCCCCAGTCGCTCGATCCCACCCGCCGCCTCCCTCCACCTCGCCCTCGCCGCCGCCCCCCTCCGCCTCGCCCGCCGCCTCCCTCCGCGTCGCCGTCGCCGCCGCCCCCCTCCGCCTCGCCGTCGCCGCCGCCTCCCTCCGCGTCGCCGTCGCCGCCGCCTCCCTCTGCCTCGCCGTCGCCGCCACCCGGCTCGCCGCCGCCGCCCTCGCCGCCGCCGCCCAGCCCGCCTCCGCCAAGCCCGCCGCCGCCGTCGCCGCCGCCCTCTCCGCCCCCGTCGCTGCCGCCCTCTCCGCCCCCGTCACCGCCGCCCTCTCCGCCCCCGTCGCCGCCGCCCTCGCCGCCGCCCTCGCCGCCGCCATCACCTCCGCCGCCCTCCGCCCCGCCCTCCGCCCCGCCCTCCGCCTCGCCGTCGCCGCCGCCTCCCTCGGCCTCGCCGTCGCCGCCGCCTCCCTCCGCCTCGCCGTCGTCGCCGCCGCCTCCCTCTGCCTCGCCGTCGCCGCCACCCGGCTCGCCGCCGCCACCCTCGCCGCCGCCGCCCAGCCCGCCTCCGCCAAGCCCGCCGCCGCCGTCGCCGCCGCCCTCTCCGCCCCCGTCGCTGCCGCCCTCTCCGCCCCCGTCACCGCCGCCCTCTCCGCCCCCGTCGCCGCCGCCCTCGCTGCCGCCCTCGCCGCCGCCATCACCTCCGCCGCCGCCCTCCGCCCCGCCCTCCGCCCCGCCCACGCCGCCGCCGCCAACGTCGCCTTTACCTGACGTGGACCCGCCGTGCTTCCCGAGCTCTGCGACGGTTCAGCGCGCCGACGGCGAGACCGCCCTCCTCTCCTCCCTCTCCGCCGGCGACTCGATCCTCGCCGCGGCGGCCGACGGCACCCTCGCTTTCGATGGCGTGAGAGCGTTTTCATCTGTTTCACAGTCGCTTACTTCTACTAGGCACCCTCGGCTTCGACGTCGTCTCCTCCTTCTCGCTGGCCCACCCGTCCGCCAAGGCGGCTTTCCTCTCGCTCGCCACCGCGACGGCGACGGTCACGCTCACCCCGACGCACAAGCTGCCCGCCGGCCCGGCAAAGGCGCTCAAGCAGGCGTCCGAGGTTGCCGTCGGAGAGACGATCTGGCTCGCGTCGCCGGCCGCGGGCACGCTCGTGCAGGCGCGTCTATACCCCCAGCACCACACACACATCCCTGCCTCTCCCTATGCGACCCCCCCCCCCCCCCTCCTGCCAGGGGCCCGTCCTCAAGATAACCAAGGTCGTGGCCGACGGGCTGCACAGCCCGCTCACCAAGCACGGAGGCTGGCCGGTCGTCGACGGCGTCGCGACCTCGTACAACAGCGCGGCTGTCGTCGCGCGCAACAAGTACCTCGTCCCGCTCGTCGAGGCGGTCTGCCCCTGCCTCGGCCGCCTCGTCGTGGCGGCCGTGAACCCCAAGCCGATGCACTACATCGATGGCGAGGTGAGCCCTCTCCCGCCGTCCCAAGTTATATCTCACTTGTCCCCACTCCTCCCCACCCCATCGCCCACGTTCGCCTCTCGCTCTCGACCAAAGGTGGTCGAGCCAATCTCATCGCTCGAGGTCGCCGCTGCCGTGGCCGTCACGGCCGCCGCCACTCTTGGCGTGCGCAAGATCACGGCGCGCAAGTAATGCGCGAAGCGGCGCTCCAGCTCGGATCGCGCGGCCGACCAAGCTCTCTACTACGTCCTTCATTGGATCCGCATAGCGCGCAAGAACGACCTAACTAACAGCTTGTTTGACGCCTGCCAGCCCCGGCGGGAGGCGCGCAGCTGGTGCGGGCGGCTCGGAGCCGCCATGGGGCGCCAGCAAAAAGTCTGCGTAGCTCGGCGCGTGGGAGTGTGAACTGTGGTAAGGTAGGCAGCACATTCATTAATACCTCCTATGGCGCTGGGCGCTGGTCTATGAGATTCACAGAACTTGTTATTGAGAAGAAAATACCTCCAATTTTCTGTGTCGCTCTCGGCGAGCGATATAACGCGGGCCCGAATAAATAAAAACGGACACCTCTCTAAAAAACACGCCTGCGTGGATCGCGTCACACCAATCCTCGCTACCCCGCGGCCAAAGGATATTCACCTCGAGAACCTCGAGAGCACTTGGAGCACTTGGAGTGCAATCAGTAACCTCACATCCAGGGCCGAGGAGCTCAGAAGCGCACCCAGCGGGCCGGATGATCGGTATCGGGTTGCGGGCAAGAGAGCCCTAGCCCCGGGGGTGCGCGTTCGCAGGGCAAGGGCTGTAAAGTAAACACGGGTCTCCGAGGGTTGGCTCCGCGCTCCGGGTTTCCCCTAGCAGCAGACCGCCCCCTCTACTCGGAGCTATAATGGACACGACACGCACTCTCACACGACGTCACCGCTCAGGACCCCTTCGCACGAGGTCCTCATCCTCACTCCGAGAGAGAGAGAGCGTTCGCCGGCGGCGTCTTGACGAGAGATCAAACGGCGATCCAAACCGCCGATTTTCGAGCTTCGGGGATATGGGACAGCTCGCCGTTCCCGAAGAGGCGGCCAGCTCGCTCAGCACGCTCGCGAGCCAACGCGTGGCTGTGTGCATGGTCGGCGCGGTGCGCACGCTCCTCCTCGGCGCGGTCCACCATTCGGTCAAGAAGAACCTCCTCCACGCTCAGCTTGTGCCGGCCGATCTCTTCCTGCACCTCCACCTGGGGTGGGATTACACGGCCCATGCCGGCAACCACGGTGCGCGTGGCGAGCAGGTTTCGCGGTCCGACGAGCGCTTGAGGAAGGCGATCGAGCACCTCAATCCCGTGAACGTGTCGCTGGTTGAGCAGAGCGACTGCAGCAGCGCGGAGATGAGGTCGCTGAAAGTGTGCGCGGAGATCGCGGCGAGAAAGCGGTCCGACAAGGGCGGCGCGCTTGCCGGGTACCTGCAATACATGTGGATCGCGCGCAGCCTACAGACCGTCATGGCCTACGAGCGTGCGCACGGCCTCACCTATGCATGGGTGATCCGCACGCGACCCGACCTCGCCTTTTTCGACCGCGTGCCACCGGCGGTCACCATGTCGCCGCGCCGCATGGTCCTGATGGAGAAGGAGTCGAGCCCAGCCTACTTCGACGCCTTCTTCATGATCCCGCGCCCGCTGCTGGACGACTTTGTCGACGGCCTCCTCGCCTTTTGGGACTCGGAGACCACGCTGCCGTGGCCTCCCGAGTTTCGCTTTTTCCCATGGATGCGTTCACGACGGCGCTTCCCGTGGGGCTACGCACTCATCCCCGCGGCGCTGGTGCGATCCGCCGGCGGCAACACGGGCTCGCCCGACTGCTGGCGCCTCTCGCTCAAGGAGACGCCGCAGTTCATTTACGAGCTGCAGGGCACGGCTTGGGGGCGCGGATCAACGGGTGAGCTCCTGCCGTTCAGGCGCGCGTGCGAGGTCTTCTTCGCGTCACTCTGGGGGAGCGTCGTCTCGCACCCGACAGCGCCGGCTCCAGTGCCGCGGAGGCCGTACTCGGGCCACAACCCTACGGTGCGGAAGTCAGCAGCGAGCGCCGTTAGCCGCGCGTCTCACCGCACCACCGTCGGGTGATCGGCGATGTCACGTGGCCGCCCGGTGTGACGCGCTTTTGATTGCAATCTGTGTCCTGCGGGCAGAGCCTGCGAGCTGGCAGCACCCTGTCGTCTTACGCCCCCATCATACGTGTACGGACAGTGCGAAAGAGGAGGCAGGGTTTACGTTTAGTGGGGATTAGGGGCGCACCCTCTAGCCGGCGCGCTCTCTACACGCGACCAGATTCTTGAGGAGTTCGCTGTCGGCGAGCTCGCATCGGTCGGTACCCTCCATCCGTCCATCCATGAACGGCGGAGCTATTCTCGCGTCCACACCACACCTGGCCTCTGTGCTCTGAAAATTCTTTTATATTTTATATATGTAGGTGCCGGCGCCCAGGGACGTGCTTTCCCGCCGCCTCGGCCACTCTCTTTAGGTTCGCCATCGGCACGAAGACGTGATGACCTCGGGGACCCGTGTTTACTTTAAGGCCCTTGCCCTGCGACCGCGCACCCCCCAGGGCTAGGGCTCTCTAGCCCGTAACCCGATACCGATCATCCGGCCCGCTGGGTGCGCTCCTTAGCTCCCCGGCCCTGGATGTGAGGTTACTGACTGCACTCCAAGTGCTCCAAGTGCTCCTTCCCGGGCATGGCCTTTATACGGTTCGTGAAGGGTCGGTGCGTGTCGTGCCCCCCCCCGACCTCGGGTATTCCAATCCGTTCTCCAATGGAACCGCCACTTGGCATTTATACGCTTTTCTCGCCGAGTAGTGTCTATATTCTTTTTTTGCGCTTGTCCAAAATATGGTCTAGCAGTTTCTCACCAATTCTCGCAGCGACCTTCATGCCACCTCGCGTTCTTCCCACTCTTGTCGTTCTCTCTCCTGCTGTCTCTTCGCCTGACTCATCGCTCTCCTCGGATTCTCTCCTCGGCCTCGTTCTGAGACGCCGCTGTCGTCTGCCGATCTCTTGCTCTCGCTGCTTCTCTCGCCTTTCTGCGTAACTCCGCTCTCCTCTCCGCGTATTTTGGTCCCTCGAGTTTATCGAGCATTCCTCGCGCAAGGACCACATTTCTGACTCCCACTGCGATCATATCCCGCCCTGTCATGTCTTTGCTCAGGTCCACTCTCGTTTCGAGCACTTGTACCTCAACTGTCAGTGTTGGCACTGGGGTTCCCTTCGGGTATATCGTGAAGCTGACGGCGGGATTTCCACTGGTGTTTCGTCCTCCTCGGGGTCGTCTTCCCCGGCTTCCTTGCGTTCGGCGTGGCTTACCCTCCATGAGTGAACAGGCGCTTTATCCACTCTATACCTAACCTAACCTAACCTCTGACTGTCGTTGCTGTTTCTTGACTGTCTGTGCTTGTTGTGCGTCTTTGGGTCCGGGGTTGTGTTTTTGTGTGAGTTACCAACTGCACTCCAAGTGAGAAGTGTGCGTCGGGCCGAAGCCCGTCAGGCACTCTCTCCCTAACCCTAGCATTCTCCCGAACCCTAGTGTGTGTTAGTTGCCTCTGAGGCTCTGTGCTTTCACACCTCGCCCCGTCGTGTCCGTCCCCAGTGTGATTGCGGCCATCCACGACTACGTCGTCTCTAGAGAACGTATACAACCCCCTTCTGGTGTCGACCGCGCCCCTCGCGGGGGCACGGCCGGACGTGGCAGCGTCAACTGGTCACGACCAGCACTTTGGGGGAGACATGCCCGACTCACTGGCGGAGGGCCTCGGGGAGGTCCCCGCCAAGGATGTCGCAACCTACGCAAAAGCCGCTTCTGATGAGGCCGCAAGGTGGGCCAAGCGGAACGGCGTCGATGCGGGCGCCGGCACGCTCGCCTTTGCCCACACCCTCCTCACATCTCGCCGGAGCGCGAAGGCCAACCGCAAATTTGCACAAACTCCGAGACAAAGCCCCTTCGAACGCGCGAAAGCGCCGGCTTTCGAAACTCGGCGCCCGCCCTCTTTCTGGCCGCGTCCCTCCCCTGTCCTCTCGACTGCATTCCTCTTTTACATACATCGTCTTTCCGTGTGCCGTGTCGATCGACAGTGTCGTGCGTCTCTGCTCTCCCTTTTGGCATTCGCGCTCTCTGACAACTGATTACCTTGGTGATGGTAAGCACATCCAGCGCGTCCATAATTTCCTAAATCGCCGCCGCCCCCCTCGACGCCGCTCCCCTCGCCGCCGGTGGCGACCGCGCTGCCGATGTCGGTCGCGCTGGCCGGCAGCGCGTCCGCAGCCTCGTCGCTGCCCTCGCCGTCGCTGTCCTCGCCGCTGGTGGGGGCCGCGCCGCCGGCGCCGAGCGTCACCCGCCTCCACGTCTCTTCCTCTAAGTTGAGCCAGAAATCCTGGTCGGGGTAGCCGTCGTACTCGACCGCGTGCACGAGCCGGCCGTCCGAACCCTCCTCCCACCCCGTGATGGTGCCCGGCCACCACCTCTGCTCGCCCAGGATCTCCACGTGTGTGCCTGTCTCGACGACAGCGTGCCCGGCGATCCTCGCCGCCGCGTCCACGCGCAGCCGCTTGCGCCGCGCCGTCTTAGACTCCGCGGGCTGCGGCAGCACGTAGTTCGGGCCGTACTCCGCCACGCCCGCGAGGACCTCGGCCGCGCTCACCGTCTCGACCGCGGCCTCGACCGGCGGAGGGGGGAGCTCGACCCGTCGTTCGACCCGTCGTTCCGTGAACTCCCGCGCCAGCCGCTCGCCAGCCGCTCCCTGATGGTGATGCGATGCGCCGCCCGTCGGTCGACGCCCTCGCGCTCGCCCCTGCGCTCAACCAACGACGCCGTCGCTGTCCTCGCCGACGTGACCGTGATCCGAGGCCGCCCATCCGCCATTGATGCAGCCGAGATGCAATCCGAAACTGTGCTGTCCCCCCCGCTGCCCCCGGACACGTCCCTCCCTGTCCCGACTCGTTCCTACTTATAACAAATCTTTATTTTCGCCGACTCAGTCACACGACACACCCGCAAGGGGCAAGGGAAAAACCGCGCGGTCAAATCGCGTCGCGGACGCAAACGCAGGGACCCGCCGCGGCGTTCTCTCGAAATCGCAAGTCCTCGTCTCGACGCGAGCCATCGAGGGGCTCCACCCGGAGCGTCTCACACGATCGGCGGCAGCTTCGAGTCACTCTTTCGCGCGCGGCGCGCCTTGTCGCGCTCGAGCATCTCTCGCGACATCAGGACGCCGTCGTCCGCCGCCTCGATCTCCGCGTTCTCCTCCTCCGCCGCCGCGCGCCCCCGCGCCATGCCGTCGCGCATCATGGCGACGTTCCTGCCCACCTGCTCCGTGCCGAGCAGCGAGCCCTCCGTCTCCTCGTCCCAAGAGGTGGAGAGGACGCCCCACGTGATGCCGGCAAAGGAGAGAGCAAAGCACGCCTGCGTCGCGTACGCGATCACCTGCCGAGGCGGGGGGAGGGGCGAGGGCGTGGCGCGGGAGAAGTGGCGCGGGGAGGGAGGCGCGGGGAGGAGGAAAGCGGGACGGGCGGGCGCCTGCGGCGGTACGTCGAGGTCGAGCTGCGTGTTTGCATAGTAAGCGCCGACAAAGACGAGGAAGGAGCCAAACACGGGCAGTCCCGCGAAGGGGACCACGCGCGAGAGCATCCGGTTCGAGACCACCTCGGGCATCACGCCCGCACTCGGATCGACCGGCGACATCTCCTCTGCCGTGTACGCCGTCTGCCGGAGCGCCGCCCGGCCGCGGCGCGCCTCGTCCGGATCAGCGCCAGCCGCCTGCCGCATCGCCTCGAGCGCGCTCCGGCCGCGCGCCGCGGCGGCCTCCGCCTCAGAGATCGCCGACTGCCCGCCCGCCGCATCCAGGAGGCTGCCGCCGCCCTGCGCGCCCTCCGCCGACGCCTGCTGCTTGCTCGCAAAGCCCTTCCCGCCACCGCCGCGCTTGGCGGCCATGCGGACGTCGACCGCGGGCCGCGCCGGCGCTCGGGCGTAATAGCCGGTGGCGGTAGCCAAGATCGCAACCAGCATTTTCACTTGGGGCCAGGTGGCGTTTATTTTTGCTTGGGCGGCCCTGATGCCGGGGTAGGTAGGTAGGGTCTGGGCCCTCCCGTCGGGTTTTTCCCTCTTCCACGCTGGAATTTTCACAGCATAAAAAGAAATTTTCCCGCGGAAATCACGATGTCAACCCTCCCCAAATGGGTGATCTGATGCTTGTAGGGCTTGAGAGTGGCCTGCCATGTCACAAGAAGGACTGTGGTTGCAGGAGAGTACCACCAACCATCACTCTAGTTGGTATAGTACCCCACCTTCACCCCTCCCATGATTTCTTTTTTAGTTTCCCATAAGTAAGGTAGGTAGGTAGGTAGGTATGGGTCGTCTGCCCCATAGTATTCGACCGCCACAATCTCATGGTCTTTCCCGCATACTCCTGGCATGATGTGTACGCGCCCCATCACATTCGCTAGCGCCGGGGTGACTATCCAGTTGTCAATTTGCGTGCCCGCCCGGTACGTTGCGTCATTCGCCATCGCTCTCAGGTCTCGCCCCACTTCGGTCAGCATGCTGTTGAACATCTTGTCTGAGAGGGTCCGCTCCTTTTTGCCTCTGTTTCGTAGGAAGGCCTCCGTCTCGGCGTTGAAGTCTCCACCGATCATGTACTCCCCGTCGATTTTGTCTAGCTCGTCCCTTAGGCTCTCCCACGCGTCTTGCGCTGGGTCCTTTGTTTCTGTGTCGTCCGTTCCTCCGCTCGCCGCCACCGTTATCTTAGCCCGTCCCCTCACTGGCATGTAGACTCCTATCTGTGTCCACTCCAGTCCGCTTGCCGCGTCCTCCATCTCCACTTTCACGACGCGACCTCTCACCACCTCTTCCATGGACACCTCACCCTTCCCGTCTCTCTTTGCTTGGAGGTGGTCTGAGTCCCACACAATCAACACCCCCGCTTTGAGCGCGCGCGAGGCCGGGTCATTGTAGGCTGGGGTCCCGCACGCCTCTATCCCCATCGTCTCTAGGTACTCTATCACTTCGCGCATTTCCTTCTCGCCTAGGTGCGTATCTGCCAGCGTGGCGAGCCACACCCCTCCCTCCTTGATGTATCTGATGATCTCCACCAACTTCTTTGTTGCCTCCCGTCCCGTGTTGCGGATCGGTGCGCCTCCCCCCTCTTTTAGTTCCCGGATTTCCTCCATCGCCCCCTCTATGCTCTCGAGGCCAGGGAAGGATGGGTGTATAGGAGAAAAGCGCAGCTTTTCTTCTGCAACGCGCCCCCAAATACCCCTCGCAAGAACCTCAGGAGCGACAAAACAACAACTCTCTCTCTCTCTCCCTCCCTCTCTCTCTCTCTCTCTCAGGAGCGACTCCGCGCTGAGGGCCGACCCAACCTCCCTCACTGACTGCACCTTCCATGGGCCATCTCTTGTCATTCTTCGCCGCATCACCCGCGCCCGCGCCGTCTCTGATTGCCGGCCGCGTGGTCGGAAAATACACTGCGGCCGCCGGGAGTCAGACTGTCGATCTCGACATAGTCGCCCTCAATGATGAGCTCGCAATCTCGCTGCTGATGACCATCGACGAGAGTTTCAGCTTCCTTCGGACCGCCGGCGCCGAGCTCGCTCGAAAGCTCCAGGCCGCCGCCGGCCCCATCGAGATGGTCTGCTCTGCCGCCACGCTCGGCATCGCCGTCGGCCAGCTGGTGGCGATATCCTTTGGCCTCGACCGCCAGGTCGTCTTGCAGAAGACTCAGAAGATCCACCTGCAGGGCGACCGCTCCCTCTCTGAGGCGCTCTCCTCAATCACAACTGGCACGCCGCAGAAGCTGCTGCTCGACAAGCGCCACCTCCATCTCGTCGCCGGCAAGCGAGTCGTCTTTGTCGACGACGTCATCTCCTCGGGCGGCTCGTGCGCAGCGGCGCTCCGCCTGTTGCGCGCGGCCGGCGCGACCGTCGTCGGCGTCGGGGCCATCCTGGTCGAGGGCCAGGGCTGGAGGAAGCAACTCGGCGAGGCGGACGCAGCGCTGGTCAGCAATCTCGGCACGATCCCGCTCTTCCGGCCGCAGGCGGACGGGCATTGGGCCGAGGATTGGAATTGCTGAGGTGCTATTTTGGGGGGTCAAGTCCAACACAAGTTGAACAACTGATTTCGGGGTTGTGCTTTTTGTCGCTGTTTCTGTTTGCGGATGTGCGAGCTTCTTGTTTCACATAACCTATCTGTGAAAATACATTATGAATGTCCCAGGCCCGGAGGGCCTCCAGGGCTCGCACCTCAACCTCTCATAGACCAGAGGATGATCCAGAGCGTCTGCCAGAGGAGCACTGGTTGGGCTCAACCCAGTTTTCCGGAAAACAAAAAGGAAAACAGAGGTCCCCAGCACTTTGCGTTTCCGGAAATTTCCAGGGAACAGAGGGTGTTTGGTGCTCCATTCTGGAAACTCGCGAGTTTCCCTGAGTCTGAGAGCTGGTCTGGGGCAAAATCTGAGGCAAAATTGAGGAAATCGACAAAATACCCAGGCGGTCGCAGGGTAATTTCCAGGTATACACGGGTTCTCCGCGAAATTCCCGGCATTTTGCTGATTTGGCCTAAAATTTGGCTGATTTTGGGCCCAAACCAGCCTCAGTGCTCAGACTCGGCTCAGAGGACAGAGCCAAAAATTTGACGATTTCCACGCAGTTTTCCCGGGAAAATAGAGAGGAAAAGAGAGGGTGTTGTAGAGAAAAAAGGAAAGGAAAACAGACGGGGTGCGAGAGGCAAACCGGGTTGAGCCCAAAGCACTGGTGGACGAGAGAGTTCTCCTTCTCTCTATAGACCAGCGGGCGCAGCGCCATTGGAGGTTTTCTCTTCTCAATCACAAGGTCTGGGGTCCCGTACCATTCGGAGGTAGGTAGGTAGAAATTCGGAATCGACCAGTGAAAAGAAATCCCAGCCACGTAAGAAAATCCACCTCCCGAACACGGGCAGTACCCGGTAACACAGGGTTGTCCACAACAGCGGGCGCTCGGCACCATGGATCGCAGACCTCAGGCCGGCACCACGGTTTTGGACGTGGGCGGCTGGCGGGTCGTCGTCACCGACGGGCACACAGTGCTGCCCGATGGCATGACGCACCTGCCCGACGACGCGTTCTACGGGCACCGCAGCGCCCTCATCTCTGTCGTCTGCCCGAGCAGCCTCGTCTCCATCGGCGATCGTGCCTTCTATTCCAACTTTTACCTCACCTCCATCACCCTTCCCGCCGGGCTCACGTCAATCGGCGAATCAGCCTTCTATTACTGCTGTTCACTCGCCTCCATCTCCTCCGTCGACTCCCACGCCCTTTTCACCTTCCCCGCCAGCCTCGCCTCCATCGGTCGCTACGCCTTTTACGCTGGCCGCATCGACTTTGCTCCAATCATGCCTGGCTCCTCGCGCACGCGCGTTACGGTGCCAGCCACCGCCCAGATCGGCGAGGAGGCCTTCCCCTACGCTGCCACCATCCTCCGCGTCCCGCCCGCGAGCATGCGCGCCCAGGAGCGGCTCCTCTTCTTCTACAAGGGCGCGCTGGCCTACAAGCGCTGCCGCCCCGGCCTACTCGGCTGGCTAGAGCGGGCCCAGATCAGGCTCGGCGCTTACGGTCCGGACGGCGCGGCGCGCCAGCGCGACCTGGAGGAGTTCGAAGGCGACTGTGCGCTAGCTGCGATCCATGCGTGACTGAGTGGTGTGGCAGCGCGGGGGTGGAGCTGTCTCTTAGCACAAGGTTTGTTGTTGCAAAACGAGAGAAAGACAACCGCCGCGGCCTACGTCAACTCAGGCATCCCACACCCAGGCTCTGCGCCCGCATGGCCGCAAGGGCCAAGGACCGGCGGCGGCGCCACCTGACCTCGCACCTGCGGCACTTCCTGCGTGCTGCGTGATCTCGGCTGTGCTGACGTCCGTACAGCCTTCACAGCTGGTGCTATCTGAATATCTGCTACAGCGCCCATGGTAGAGTTCTTACGACAGGCGTCCGTCCGTTCCGACGTCGAGCTTCCTCCGTGACCTCCGGGATGCGCGCGCCCAGCTGCGCGCGACGCTCATCACCAACCGAACAGAGCTCCCCGGCCAGGCAGACCATTTGTCGAGGCGGTTTAGGATCGTTTAATAGTCATGTGTAGTGACCGTCTAGGCGAAACTGCTAGAGTAGCTGTCGCCCTTTAGGGCGACATGATGGTGTTTTGGCGCGAGGGGGGGCGTGCAAGTGGCTAGAATGCCTAGCGCCGTCGTCCTGGGGGGGACCGGGGAGGGTGCCCGCCGGAATTCCGGCGAAGACTAGCACTCCAGTCGTGGTCCCATTGGTCAGACGGACCTGCGCTCCCTCGTGTGCCTGCCGGGTTCTCTCCTGCTTTCTGGCGCATCAGCTGTGGCCTCGCCCGAGTGTCTCTCGTCTCGCTACTCGAGCGGTGACGCCAGCGCTCAGCTAGGCTCGCCTCTCCCTCAGCGGCTCACGCGGGGACGCCAGCGCTCAGCTAGGCTCGCCCCCCTCTCTCAGCGGCTCACGCTGTCTCGCGGCTCACGCGACGCTTGGCACTATGGGACACGGCGCTCACGGCCTTCCCGGGCGCACGCGAGACGGGTACTCGGCTCACAGGTACTTTGCTCACAAGCCCCTTTCTGCGGTTCACGCGCTCCTTTTGCCAAGATGACGGCGCTCAGCTTTCCGCAGGACTGAGGCGGGATCACCACGGCGGCCGGGGGACGGCTCACGCGGTGACGCCGGCGTTCAGCTAGGCTCGCCTCTCTCTCTCTCTCAGCGGCTCGCGCGGTGACGCCAGCGCTCAGCTAGGCTCGCCTCTCCCTCAGCGGCTCACGCGGGGACGCCAGCGCTCAGCTAGGCTCGCCCCCCTCTCTCAGCGGCTCACGCTGTCTCGCGGCTCACGCGACGCTTGGCACTACGCAGCCCATGCCGCTGTATCCAGCCCCCTAGGGTGGTCGAGCTCGAGGTGCGTCCCCCACGGGTCCGCCTCGAGTCCGTCCGGGCCATCAGACCCATAGGCCGTGTAGTTCGCCTCGACGTCTCCCGTCGATGCGCTCCTCAGGGCTCCCGGCGATTGGGAACCCACGGGCGATGCCGCAGCCCATGCCGCTGCATCTAACCCTTGAGGGTGGTCACGCCCGCGCGCCCCCTGGGGTTGCGCCTCGGGCCAGTCCGGGTTGTTAGGCCCGGAGGTTGTATAGCTCGCCGCATCGTCGTCTCCCGACGATGCGCTTCCCAGGTCCTCTCTCCCAAGAGGTCAATAGGAGCGGCCGCACACTGCTCGCTACCCCCCCTGCACAACTAAGCTCATCCCTGCTGCTAGGGGGGGGGGTCTGACCCCCCCAGCAGCAGAGCGCTGCTGCTGGGGGGGGGGGTCCCGACCCCCCCCCCAGCAGCAGAGCGCACTGGACCCCGCTCTCCCGCCTCTTCGCCGCCGCCCCCCCCTCCACCCTCGGCTCGTATTTGAGCGGTACGCTCGAGGCGGTTGTGTTCACCGCGCCTTCGAGCCCAATACACCTTCGTCGTGTCGAGTGCTGGCGTTTTACTAAACACTTGTGACCATGTGAGTCTATCTTGTAATACCACACGCGCCTATACATCAGTGTAGTCTCATCATCGAGTGATTGCTGGCCTGCGGCGTATGACCTCGCGCGGATATCACCAACGACGAGC